CCAGCCTTTTTTAAAAATTATTTTTGGGCTGGGGATTTAGCTCAGCAGCATAAGCGCCTGCCTTGAAAGGGCACAGTCGTGACTTCGATACTTGATACAAAAAAAAATTATTTTTATTTTGAGAGACGATGGTGCATGCCTGTAATCCTGGCACTTGGGAGGCTGAGGCAGGAGGATCACCTGATTCAAGGCCAACCTGGGGTACATAATGAGTTCAAGGCCAGTCTAAACTACATAGTGAAAATGTCTCAAAAACTGAAGAAAAGGGGCTGGGGATTTAGCTCAGCGGCATAAGCACCTGTCTTGCAAGCAGGCGGTCGTGAGTTCGATCCTTGGTACTGATAAAAATGAAAAAGACAAAAAAAAAAACCCACAAAACTGAAGGAAAAAAAAAGATTAAAGGTACTAGCATAGCTCAGGGAGGACTGGAATGTTCTGGGCTTGCACTCTCTTGGGGGTCACTTGAGATTTTTCAAGCCAAGCCTTGGGGCCATCTGTTGCCTGGTGAAAACACATGCATGGGGAATTGGGAAACATGTCCCCACCTGGTGTCCCCATCTGGCTGCATGACCTTGGGAGGGTCCCTTTTTGTTTCTTGGTCTCACTGATCTCATCTGCCCAAATGGGAATTTGATTTCTGCTTTACCCAGGGATGTGGGAGGATGAAGCCAGGGCAAGATGAGAATCTCATGAATGTAAGGGATTATTCTCCAGGTCAGGGGAAGAAGAATGAGAGGCCTCCCTTCCACCTGCCAAGCGGCAAGGGCGCAGAGAAAGTGGAGGGTGGGGCTGGGACCACCCAGACAACCAAAGAGCACATTCACAGCATCAAGCGGTTCACGGAGGCCAGGCCTGGTAGGGCAGCCACCCAGGCTGCCTGGAGAATTGGGACACTGAACTGACCTCTCTGCACTCTCCCTGCCCAGTGCAGCTGCAGTGGGCCACCTCTGCAAGCCCAGCTTCATCTGCTCACCCCAACATGTACACACACGGTCCTTTCAGCCCACCTTCCCACCAGAGCCACAGGGGCTTTCACCAGGCAAATCCAGTCATGCTTGTACTTGCTCAGACCTCTCCCACAGCATCTCACTGACCTAAGAGCAAAAGCTGTCCTCTATCTTTGCCTATCGTTGTAGCTGGCAGGAGCTACAGCTCCCCCTCCCAACTCTAGCATCCTAAGATGGGTCAAGAGCTTGGCCCTGGTTAGGATTCTGGCTCAACTCCTCACTCGTTCAAAAAAATGTTTACTGAGCACCTACCAGGGGGCAGGCACTATTCTAGAGCCTGTCAGTGAACAAAGGAGACAGATATTCCTGTCCTCATGGAGCATCTTTTGTAGCAGCAGGAGATTAACTATAGACATAGTAAGTACATTACACAGCATGCTGGAAGGTGACAGAAGCTGTGGAAAGAGAAAAGAAGCACAGGAAGCTGAGCAAGAAACTGGGAAACACTGAAATTACATTTTTAAATAAGGTAGTCAATGTGGGTTTCACTGAAAAGGTGATATTTGAACTAAGACTTATAGGAAGTGAGGGAGAGAGCCATGTAGCTGTCAGGGAATATACAGATAGGAGTAGCCAGTGCTAAAGCCCTGTGGTAGGACCACCCCTGGTTTCTGAGGAACAGTAAAGTTGTAGGAGGGGACTCATCGAGTTCTAGGAAAGATCACACAGGAACCCATGCGTCTTGGTGAGGCGTGAGACGGGAGCCTTGGAGGGTTCTTACCTCTGGGGAGTGGAGGAGGCAGAATGAGAAGGAGAGGAGCCAAGCAAGCCTGTGACCTCAGCCAGCATGCGGATGGCGGCTTCAGCTGCTCCTGTGAGGAACTCCAGGATGTGCGGCTCCTCGGTACTATCTGCTCCACACCCTGATTCAGCCTGGGCCGGGAAGAGGAACTTCCGGGCCCTGAGACAGCGAGGTTCAGTTTGGAAGAAAGTTGCAACCAAAAAGGAGTTCCTGTTGGCTTCAGTTCCCAAACAACAAGGCCTCAGAGCCGCATACCCAGACACAGGGTGGCTAAAGCTGGGGACATGGTCAGTCACAGTGTGACCAGGTGGAGGGTTTTGGTCAGGAAAGACTGAAGCACCACCACTCGCCCAGAGTTTGAAATTCCTGTGTAGTGTCCTGGCCACGCACAATCCTGCCTCCTGTGGTGCAGGGTCTGGCATCCTGTGTCAGGTCTGCTCATCTTGGGATACTTTGGATTTTAGAAAATCCACTCATTCATTTCACAAACATTCACTGCATGCCTATTTTGTACCAGGAGCCATTTCTGGTCCTAGAGATAGAGCAGAGAACATAACAGACCAGATTCCCATCCTGAGGGCTCATGCCTGGAAAGGGAGATGTTTACAGGGGCAAAAACACAATGTGGTAAGTGCAGAAATGGGGAAGCTGCAGAAGCTGTAGGAACCTGGGGGACCTCGAGAAATGAGGGTAGGTACAAAGCCATAGGCAAAAGTATCCCAGCAGACAGAGGAGCACGTGCAAGGGCCCTGAGAATCCCACTATTGGTCAGCAGCCCCCTTCTCCCCAAGGCCCTGTGACCCTGCCCTTGTCTGGTTGACTGAAGGTGCCTCCTTTGGGGTCTCCCACGGTGGGACAGACACTGGGGGTTACAGTCCCTGGCTCCTGTTTCTGTTGGGTAGGGGCTGTCTCTGTAGGTATCACCTCACTGGCACTCACCCACCCACCTGCAACAGTGAGCAGAAACTACCCCAGCCACAGGCTGGTGCAGCGTGGAGTGCAGGTGACCTCCAGCAAGGCCTCAGGCATGTGGGTGGGATGCTGATGGACCTTTCCGCAGCCCGCGTGCTCAATGCCTCCTTCCCCTCTCTGACCTCGTCTCCTACACACTCTGCCTTATTCATTTTCTCCACCTTTTCTGGCCTCACCGTTCTCCCAACCTGCCAAATAAAGTCTCATGTCAGGGCCTCTCCGTTTGGTGTTCCCTCTTCCTGCAGCGTGGCTCCTCCAGATATCCACATGGCTCATTCCCCACACTCCCTCCTCAGAGAAGCCTTCCCTGACCACCTTATCTCCAGCAATACGTGCACCATTCCCTTCCCACCTTGCACTGCGGTTTCCCCCAGAGCACATACCACCAACTGATACGTTCGCTAGCACATGTGCTGATTGCCTTGTCCTCGGGACTGGAGCTTTCTGAGGGCAGGTCCACTTCTGGTTTTGATTATGGTGAGCTTTTTGTTATGGGGCCTTGGAAGTGAATACATAGTTGGGAAAGAATCAGTTCTGAAATACAAGTGACCTCCAAGAGTCCTTCTAGACCTGACTGTGCTGAATCTTGGATATGACTAATGCTTCCTTTCTCCAACTTCCAGTGGCTAGGAGTGGCCTCTAAGGGTCAGTTGTATCCAAAAAACTGCTAATGTGAACCTCCCTCAACCTCTCCTCCCCCAGACCCACTGGTAGGGGTAGGGTCAGCCCACCTAGCCTCTCTGGGCTCCTCTCTGGAGGAGCCTCCATACTGGGCAGGCCTGAGGGATGCCTGCAGATCTCATTTGGCAAATGTGCCCCTTCCTTCACAAGGCCTGTGTCTGCATTTCTGAACCAGAAGGTGTTTACACAAAACATCCCAGGTTTGGTGACAAATTCACCCTCAGTGGGGAATCTTTAATGAGTCTCCTTCCTTCCCTAGACCAGGCAGCTTAGGAAAGGTTAGCTCTGCCCCTGGTATTGAAGACAGCCAATGGCCAGGCAAAGAAGAGGTGCTGCTGGGCTTCCAGAGCCACGATTTGGAGGAGAGTCTGGAGGCAGCTGTGGGATGGAGACCGGAACATCTCCTGCACCACGTTTGCACCTGACTTGCTGTGTAAGGAGGCACTGTCTCTCTCTGGTCGAGGTGTGCAGCTGAGATGGGACAGTAACAATCTACACAAATATTTCTGTGAATCTAAAGCAAGGCAGAGTGGAGAGGGCTAAGTTACCATGAACCAAAGGGGAGAGAATAAATCCGGTTACAGTGGCACATGGCTGTCGTCCCAGCACTAGTCTAGGAGGCTGACTCGGGAGTCCAGTGGAAGCAATTTAGTGACTTAAGGAAACTAATTTCAAAATAAAAAAATTAAAAAGGAATAGGGATGTAGTCCATTTAGAAGGCTCTGGATTTAATCTGCAGTACTGGGTGGGGGGGTATATAAAGAAGATTAAAAAGCCAGAATGAGGGAGACAGGAATCAGGGTCCTCACCTCCCTCCGAGCCTCAGGTGAGCTTGGTGTTTGCAGCTAGACAATAAAGGTTGGCACAAACATCTCTAGGGGACCCTCTGCTTCCATGGCACCACTGCTGCTGGCTGCCTCTTCTGGGAAGGCCGCTGGGATCCTATGGCCCCCACTGAGGCATGACCCAGCTTTTGCAGGGCTGTGTTCCTGAGTTGGCACTCGATGCTCACTGCCCAGTTCTCCAGTTCTTTGTTTGGGTCAAGACCAACTACTCTGGACATTGGGCTTAACAAAAGGGCTTAAAGAGCACTGTGGTTAAGCAAAATTTAAATGGTCACTGCTTCCTTTCCATCCTGCGGGGACACATAGGGGAATTTTTATCCCTCTATTAAGAGACAGGAAACTGCAGATGTTAGAGGTTAGATATAAGTCACATTTCCACATGCGCTTTCTTGGTGTTCATTAAACAGGGGGGGAATGATTTCTACATCTCCAAACCTTTTATTACTCCCTTTCGTAGTATATAATTATATAATTGTTTGTCATTCATTGCCGACGTTTCCCACTAAGATGACGTTCCAATGGGGTAATAGTTTTGCTTTTCTCACTCCTCTTCCTCAGCACTGTAAACTGCCCTGTACATAATAGATTCCCAAAAGTATGTGAAGGGAGGGAGGGGTATGAGGCAGCGCCTCCGACTGTGCTCTTTCTTGCCTGCAGGGGGCTCTCCAACCCAACCCCATCGCCAGGCCCCGCCTCTGGCGTCCCGCTGACGCGCGTACGTAACAGCTTGCGCGCCTTCCTTCTATCATTGCGCAAGTGCGCCGGAAACCCTGTAAGTGCCGCGCGTGCGCAAAGAGAGTCAGCTCGGAACTCGGCCGGATCTTGAGCGCATCTTGAACTGAGCAAAGTGCTATCCGCGACTCCGGCTGCGGGACTATGCTGTCGCCGGAGGCAGAGCGGGTGCTGCAGTACCTTGTTGAGGTGGAGGAGCTCGCCGAGGAGGTGCTGGCGGACAAGCGGCAGGTGGGATGCCCTTTGTGGCGCTGGGGTCGCAGTGAATTGATCAGGCTGGCGCCCTGACGGCCGCGGACGACCTACGGGGCGGTTTCAAATAACGTGTGTCAAATGCTTGTCTCGACGTGGTGCCTTCGGCTGGTCCTAAGTGAACGCTTGCTCCGTGCTGGGCATTCGCTTGTCTTTGCTGCCCCTTCCGGATTCTGACCCATAGTCGCCTTAGGCGGTTTCCTTAAGCCCCCGTTTCATAATGTAGTTGTGGACTCCATCATTGATCTGTGTGCTCCGGCGTTACCAAGGGCATGAGGAAGCCAGAGGAACGGAGAAGAAGTTAATTAGGGGCCGCGATCCTGTAAGGCCATTCAGATGCACAGAGGGAGTGTCTCTGATTGTGTCTTGGAAGGGAGTTGGGGCAGGGGTGATATTGTTGGATCTAGGTTATAAAAAGGTCCTTCTGGCTGCCGCGTGGAGTACAGAATACAGGAGGCCAGGGTCGAAGCAAGGAGACCAGCAAAGAGTCATTGCCATAATCCAGACTCGAGATGCATTTAGACCAGATGGTGGTGATGGAGTCCGTCAGTGGTCAGAAATATACCTTGAAGATGGACTCAGTAGGCTGTGATGAAGGTTAAATAAATAGCTGGGGGAGCTAGAGGAGGCAGGCATGGTTCATGACTCCCTCTTATCTCCAGTGAGAAGGCTTGGGTGGTTGGTCAGGCAGTCACTGAGAAGGGGAAGGAGAGAGGAAGCCTGCCAATTAACACTTGTCGGAATGAGACTGATAAATTCGTATCAGTTCTTACCAGTCAAGTACCTGTGTGTATGTCAGGTACTGTTAGCTCATCAAGGCACGAGGTATGTGTCCCAGGACTCAAACCTGGATGTGGAAACCCCAGAAGCGCTCTCACCCTCAGAAGCAGAAATTGGCGCCGCCTCTTGACTTCCAGAGTAGCTGTTGTAGCAGTGTCTCTACTGCTGCTGCTCCAATCTAGTATTACTGGTGGGTTTGTTGTTTTTGAGATAGAGTCTTGTTGTGTAGTCCACGCTGGCCTTGAACTCACTGTGCAGTCCATGCAGGCCTCAAATTTGTGGCAATCCTCCTGCATCAGCCTCCCAAATATTGGGATTATAGGTGTGCCCCACTATGCTCACCTGTTTTTGGGTTTCTTAAATTGGGTCAGAATTAGCTGGAAAAGCTTGTCTGAAAATAGAGCTTCTTAGGTCTGGGAAATCACAGTGTCTTAGAGGAAAAGGTTTCACTCCCTGGTGATTCTCAAGTTTGAATGGATAATGCAGAGTTACCTACTTAGCAAACATTTTCTCAGCACCTTCTTAGAACCAGATCTCTCTATAAAGTGTTGTCTTTAAGAACCTGGAGCGGGGTATGGTGGCACACATCTGTAATCCCAGCACTTGGAGGCTGAAGCAGGAGAATCATTGCAAATTTGAGACCAGCCTGGGCTACAAAGTGAGGTCAAGACCAGCCTGAACTGCTTAGCAAGAGCTGTCTCAAAGAGACAACAAACAAAAAACAGACAAACACCTGGAAGCTTAGTGGGAGGAGAAACACATTCACACATCATCAGTCCATTTTAGGAAGTAACCCAGGAGTGGTGTGTGCTCAGCCTCTTGTCTGTGATGGGTTGGGGCACCGAGTAGCTGAGTTTCCCTCTGCTCCTGTTTTCAGATTGTGGACCTTGACACCAAAAGGAATCAGAACCGAGAGGGCCTGAGGGCCCTGCAGAAGGACCTCAGCCTCTCTGGTAAGTTGGGACTTCCTTACTGCAGCCCTAGAAAACTGTTCAGTCTTCCTTTGAAGGCCTTTCTTGTCCCTGGTAGAGACGGGGCAGGGGACCACAGATGTGTTACTCAACCTTGTGAGAAACAAATATTATGAGAAGAGAGAGCAAATGTTGCAGATCTGACACAAAGAGTGTAGCTCCGGAATTTAGCTGCTTACGTCAAGTCAGTGACTGCTGTTAGCTCCTGGCTCATTAGTGATGGAAAACCTTTGAGAGTGTGGGGAGGGGGTGTAAAAATGACAGTTCTTACTTGTTGCTCTGCAGACAAGGAAAACAACATAAAAATCACTGAAAATTGAGATCACTGAAAATTGAGATGTAGCAAATGATGGAACTGGACTGGAATGAGGGAATGCGTCTTGAGATGAACCAAATGGCTGTGGCATAAGTAGAGGGCAAGGAGGGGCCTGAATTCAGCCTGGAGAGGTGGGCAGTAACCAGATCATAATCATGAGCCTCGAAGGCCACAGGAAGACTTGTTTTATTTAAAGTGCAAAGGGATGTGCAAAACCTCTCCATGTAACATCCAGGGCCGTCCTGCGAGATTCCGTGTAACCCAGCACCCCCTGGACTCTTACCTATCCTCTGTCCCCTCACTCATCGAATCAAACTTTGTTGTTCCTGAAACCCAAGTGTATGATAGATCCTTGCTGTTCCCACTTCCTCTGCCTGGTTCCCCCTCTTCCCCAGGTACACCCACACTTTCTTCAGGTCTTTGCCTGATGTCTCACCGTCAGTGAAGCCCGAACCACTAGGTGTAAGTAACAAGTCCCTCTCCTACTCTAGCATTCTCCGTCCCTCTTACCTTGCTTTATTTTTCACTATCAGAGTCTGACAAATCTTTGCTTACTCTCTATCTTCCACTGTAACATGACCTCCATAAGAGCAGGAACTCTGTTTTATTCTCTTGTGTTCTCAGCATCTACAATGCCCAGTAGTAAGTCAGTGCTCAAAAAATACTTGTTGGAGAGTAGGCATGATGGTGCACACCTGTAATCCCAGTATTTGGGAGGTGAGGCAGGAAGATCACCGTGAGTTCTGGGCCAAACTCGGCTACATAGTGAACTCAAAGCCGGCCTGATCTACAGTGATAGCCTGTCTCCAAAAAAAAAAAAAAAAAAAAAGTACTCGTTGAAGAAATTTTCATTTACCATTTCAGAAGATGTGATGGTTTGCTTCGGGAGTATGTTTATCAAGATGCCTCACTCTCAGACGAAGGAAATGATTGAGAAAGGTAATGCTGCCTGGGCTGCTCAGGGGTCTGTCCACTTTTCCCACTCCCTGGGCTTAACCCAGAACTGAGGTTCACACTTTGGCCAGTTTGCTGGAAGACGGAAACCCGGTGTTACAGGATTCATGCTGACAGGAGTTTTCATCCCTGCTCTGCCAGTCGGTCCCTTCCTCATCTGTAAAAGGGAACGCATCTACATAATACAGTTGTAAAGCTGAGCTAAGAGTGCATGTGTCCATCAGAGTCCTTGGCTATCACTGCAGAATGAGTTGGTTACAAATAACAGAAAATCCAACAAATTGAGGCTTAAGGAAATATGGTTCTATTTTTCTCATGAAAAAATTCGCCCAGAGGACTAGCATAGCTGTCCAGCTGTGGCGCCTTGGCCTGCTGTCATGGTCGTTGTGCCTCCATTGCAGCATTACAGGCTTTTGGTCCATGAGCCAGGATGAAGAGAAGGCAAAAAGCTTCCTCCCATCATGGACTTGCCTTCTTTGGGGATTAAGGTCATTCTCCCCAATGACAGAACTTTCTGTCAGCATCTCATTGGCCACAGCTACCGATCACTGCAAGGGAGCCTGGACAAGTGAGCTTTTATTTCAACCCTGCAGTAGAGACTGGGTTGAAAATGGAGATTTGGGGAGAGCAGACCTGTAGGGGAGTGAAGGTGAACCTTTTAGAGCCTCCGGTAATAACAAACAGCTAGCTGGGTACATGTACTATAGGTTATACCTATAGTATACCACAGCCTGGGGACCCAAAGTTACCTAAATCTCTAAAGCATGAGATTATGAAGCTCTTCGGGGAAGCATCATAAGGGTTCAGGATCTGGTGCTGGGCTCTGCTGGCCCATAAATGTGACCTAGTCCTTGTACCTAGAGGGTTTCTGGGACATCTTCAGGGTTCTGAGCACCAGGCTAAATGATTTCGTGGGTTCTCAGGGATTGACACAGACTAGGCAAGCTCACAAGGCACTGCTTATTTCCAAAGAAAAGTGGAGCCGTCACCCAGGGCCCAAAGCTTGGCCAGTCAGGGCTTTAATCAGAAAGGATGAAAGCCCACGGGAAGGCAGACTAGCCAGGCGGTCTCTGAGGGCAGATGGAATGTCACTCACAGCAGTCAGCGGGTCACCATGCTGTGTCATCATGCCCTTCCTCTGAGGTGCATCCTGTTTGGGTGACCTTTTCTGTTTACTGGGTTAATTAGGTTGAACTGGAACATTTAGGCTCACTCACTGATTATCTGAAGTCACCTTTCCACAGTGGTGAATTTCTAAAAACTCCATGCCTTGGTGGACTTGTGTTTGTAAGATTCCTCGGCCATCCCCAGGTCACTTGGTCCTTACTCTGCTCTCACAGTTGACTTTTGTGGAATTTCACTGTGGGAAGTGGCCGAGAGCTCTGATGCTGCCGCCCTATGCACTGGCCACCCCAGCAGACTGTATGTGAGCCGGGAGTGAAGATGGGCTAGGCCAGCTGAGTGGGCTGGGCAGGTTATGTCCCTCTGGCCTTTAGTCCCTGGCTCCTAAGGGGATCGGGGAGGCTGGTGTCCCCTCTGCCTGGGTCCCTGTCTCTGAAGTACAGTCTTGTTCTCTATTTGCCTGCCTCATCTTCAGATCAGGACCACCTGGATAAAGAAATAGACAAACTTCGGAAACAACTTAAAGTGAAAGTCAACCGCCTCTTTGAGGCTCAAGGTATTGACCTGGGGGAACTGGGAGTCAGGAGGGCAAAGAACTGATAATACCTACTCAGAAGGACAAGAGTGGGAAGCCCCCGGGAGGTGGGCTGCGGCCAGGGCCATGTGTGTGGTGTGTGGCATTGGTTAGGCATCGGGCAATGGTTATCTGTATGTAGCTGCCCAGGGGTGGGATGGACAGGGAGGCATGAGGGTTTTACCCGTGGTGCAGCTGCTTTTTTAGGTACTAGGCTTGGAGTGATCTCAGATTTGCATGCTAGGCTAGCTTTAACAGGACTCTTAGCAGGCATCACTCAGGGGCCAACAGTAGAGGTGAAATTCTGGGTAAACCCAAGCTCTCCAGATAGATCACAGGTCTGACAAAAATCTAGCTGTCTCTGAAGAGCAGCCCTGACTTTGCAGTTATCCATGATCCGAGAGAGAGTTACAAGTATCAGTGTGTGCCAGGTCTGAGACCTGCTCCCATCAGACCTTGGGGCAGGCTCGGCCGTGTTAACATGGTGCTAGCCTCTTTGCCAGGGCCTGATTCCAGAGCCAGCAGTAGGCGGGGCAGTGGGAGGCCAGGCCTGTTCATGTGTTGTCTTCTCCCTGCAGGCAAGCCGGAGCTGAAGGGCTTTAACTTGAAGCCACTCAGTCAGGATGAGCTTAAAGCTCTCAAGGTCATCTTGAAAGGATGAGACTCAAATACCAAGAGGGGGACCTACGACCACCATCTCCCCTGTGATCATGGAGGACACAGTACCTCTGGCCTTGAAACCTGCAAGGACAGGATTGGCCCTACAAGGGCATAGGCATCAGGAATCTGATGTGGCTCCTGCACAAAGCTTCTGTTACAGTTCTTGGCTGCTCTGTGGTAGCAGGGACTCTTTAGCCTGTCCCTGTGTGTTGTGCCTGACCACTGGGGCTCGGTGGACACAAGACTCATTGACAGGGCCTGGCAGCCAGCAGTAGGTGTGGATGTGAGGATGACTGCAGCAGGCTCTTCTCAACATTGGCCTGCTGTCCAGATGGGCCCCGGGCAAGGGCACAGGATGGAGATGGGTAGAGCAGGACCTCCAGCTAGCATTCTTCATGACAGAGCGGCGGTTCAGGGCAGCGAGTGGTGGAGTGGACTAGAGCAGGGCACAGGCAGGTGGCCTCTGCAGGGAGCTCCGACTGGGTGCTCTGTGTTCACACAGCCGTCTGGGGGAAGACACATTGACCCCCTGCCTCCAGCTCTGGCCTTGCTCCTGCTGCCTACCAGGCCATGACTGCTCTGGGGTCGGGAGCCCCTTGCTGAGGTGGCCCTGGGAGGAGGTCGAGAGGGTTATGCACCTGCTGCTCTGTGGCGTCCTCTCCTGCTTCCTGGTCTGAGATCCTGGTGTTTGTACTGTAGTGACAGAGCTGTCTTTATGCTTTTTGAGGGCTCAGTAAATGTTACTTAAATGAGGAAATAGCCTTTCGTCTTTTTCTGAGGGAATAGCACTTTTGGGTGTCACTTGTAAAGGGGTCGAACTCACAACTGCACACTTGTAAGGCAGGCGCTTATGCCGCTGAGCTAAACCCCCAACCCCTGGACCTGCAGTATCTCATCTTGAGTTTTGTAGTAATTCCTGTGTGCTTCTTGTGAAGACCCTAAGAACCAGGGAGGGATGGTACCAGCTATGTGTCCTGCCACGTTGAGGAAATCTGAGCTCCAGAGTGGGCTGCTGCCCAGCCTCGATCAGAGGCCAGCAGCTCCTGGAAGACTGAGGTGAACAAGCTCCAGGACGCAGGTGAGAAAGGCAAGGACAGAACAGGTGTCTGATGTGCTTATCTGTGACACTGCATGGGTCCCCCGGACAGAAAGAGCAGAGTTGGGGCATGAAGGTGAAGAGGAAGATTTTGAACTTTGAACAGTCTTGCATATTTTAAAATACAAATTTAAAAAGTAGGGATTTGCAGAATCCCTGGTGGATGCTATCTAGTATGGTTGTCTGAGTTACGGTTTCTCTTTTGAAATATGTCTTGACTTTTTTTTTCCTAGTATAGAAAACTGAACCCTTTACACCGGCTAAGTCCTTGGTCCTTTTTATTTATTTATTTAGAGACAGGGTCCCACTAAGTTGCCCAAACCTGGGCTGGAACGTGCAGTCCTCCTGCCTCGGTCTCCCAGAGTGCTGGGATCACTGGTGTGCACCGCCACACCTGGTTCAGTGCTTTCTCCTGGCAGTGGAGCTGGGCAGGTTCCACACAGGGATGGAGGGAAAGCCCTGTGCTCTGGAGGTGTAGGGTCCAGAGTAGCTCCACTCCTGGCTTTCTGAGGCCTGCTCGTTCACTTCTTGGATTTGCCAGTATTGTATCCAAAAGCTCCATGGCTTTAACCTAGACAGTCAGGTTCTGCCATTTGAAGCCAGAACTGCCAGAGCAGGGCGTGGTAGTGGGAACTGCCTGGCAGTAGTGGGAGACATCTAGCTGACAGTGAAAAATGCGTTTTTGTGAGACTCTATCTGAACAGCTCTACCTTCCCAGTCCTTCCTTGTCCACCTGAGAAAGGGGCATTCTGGCTCACTGGTTTTCAGACAGGGCCCAGCGGAGGCCATGGGTTCTCTGATGTAAGATTAGGGCTTTGCAGAGGAGATTTGTTCAGGGCTTAGCACTTCTCCAAACTTCCAGTAAACAATCTTAATAACTGCTTGCTTTGAGCTCACAGACAAGTTCCCTAGTTGTAGGGACCCTTTCAGCTGACCCGAGACATCAAGATGCCAAAGCCAGGAGGACTGGGCTAATGCCAACAGCATTGAGCCAGGCCTGATGCCCACTGACTCCAAGCAAGGCCTGAGCTTGTTTATTAGATGTGCTCTTTCCAGGGTAGCAGAATTGCCTTCTTTGGGCTCAGTCACCAAGCTGATGCAGGCCCAGGGATTGGCTGTCTCCTGGTGCAGTGATGCCCAGGGGCAGGGTGGGTGGATGTAGGGGCTCAGTCCAAGCAGCAAGCAGCCTGTGCTTAGCCAGCAAAGCTGCTGCCAGGCTGAAAGGAGGGAGAGGAATTCAGTGAAGCGGCTGGCAGGAATCCGGTAGGGAGAGGCCAGGGTGGACTTCCCAAAGCCTCTTTCCTCTGCGCTGGGTTAACTAGAAGCTTTCTTCTGGGCTTGAAGGGAGCGAAACAGCTGCTGCAGCTGGCTTTTCCGATCATTGACACAACCTGGAAGAGAAATAAGGTGTTGGCCAGGACGATGAAGGAAGGAAGATTGTATCCTGGCTCCACTTCTGAAGTGCCCTGGTGCTCAGCGGGTCATTTTCTCCCTAAGCATTGGTTTTCTCAGTCAGGATAAGCAAGCACTTTGTGCAGCGGACAGAGGATTCATCAGGAAAGCTGGCATCAGCTGGGGCTCACCTGAGCTGGTCTGCGTCAGGTGCTGGACTTGGGAATCCTCACCCTCATGGGAACAATGTGCCGGGGAGACAGCAGGCTTGACGCAGAACTCGGTCTTGGACCCAGGCTATCTGGTAGCAGAGCCACACTCCCAGTCCCCATATTGTACTCCACCCCGCATCTTTTCCTTCTGATTTTGCTCAGTGAAATTATTAAAGCTAGCACAGTACCTGACACCGTTAGGTTTCTTCCCTTTCCCAGCTCCTGTTCCAGACTCAGCTGACTGAGAGAGAAGCTTTCCCATGCCCCTGGCATACATGTATGTCCCAGGCAGCCATGCCCAGTGACCTGCTGAGGTACCATCTCTCCCAGCATGGTCACAGGGCAGCCATCTTCTTGCTGTCAGAGCTGGGCCTCAAGGCCACTCCACAGCATTTAATCTTGTGGTGAGCATGTTGATGGCATCTGTACATGCAGCCACAAACACTGACCTGAAGGTACCTGCCATCTCGCTTAGCACCCTAAAGCCCTGAGCCTGCCTCAGGCACTGACTGAGCTGAAGGCCCACTGTGTGTGTCCTCAGGGTTCTTCAAAGTGAGTTCCATGGCACCCTAGCTTATACTATATTTGCTCATTCATAATGCCAATTCTTCAGGACTAAAGCAAACCCCCTCTTGGAGTTCTAGACACATCTCTAAGTTATCTGAGTTTTTCACCCAGAGGACCCTGAACACATCCCAGGTCAGTCCTCAATCATCAATACCACCCCCAAACCCAAAGCAGTTCCCTCCAGTATTTACCACCATCCACTGAAACATCTGACTAGGAACTTGAGAATACTTCCAGAAACTTCTGAAGTAGTATCTATCTACCTGGGCTGTGTATTTGAGTCACTGGGCACTTTAAAAAATACTGATGCCCACGCCTGGCATGATACTGCATGCCTGTCATCTCAGCGCTCTGGGAGGCTGAGGATCTCACGTGCAGCCCCAGCCTGGGTAAGGGAGTGAGCTGGTGAAACTCCCCTCAAACTGTGTAAAATAAGGGCTGGCGATGTAGCTCAGCACAAGGACCCCGAGTTCAATCCCCAGTACTGCAGAAAAACCAAACATACCAAGACCAAACTACATGTAGGTCTCTAGTACATGTCAGTTCTTTTTTAAAAGCTCCTAAGTGATTCCAGTATGCAACTGAGTGTTCTCTATCTGGGCCATTTAAATGTGAACCCAAGAACCAGCAGCCTCCATATTGGGAGGGGATTGTCCACAGGCTCGGCTGCAACAGTGCTCCCTTCCTCTGCGCACAGCTGTGCAGGGTGGATTGGCCATTGTCTCCAAGAGGTGAGTTCTGTTTCCTTTCCCTGTGACTCTGGGCTGACCAAGCTAATTGCTTTGAGCAGTGAAATATAGCAGAATGATGCTGGGATTCGGAGCCTCAGTCTCAAGAGGCTTTGCCATGTCTTTTGGAACCCTGGGCTCACCGCGCCAGGAAGCCAAGGCTAGACTTCGCAGCCAGTGCCCACGGGGAAGAGGCCTGGCTGATATCCTGCATCAGTTCCCTAGTGAGGAGAGGAGAGTGAGGCTCCCCAAGGCTGAGTATCAGTGACGCTGCCAGCAGTCTGTGCCTGTGAGTGACCAGAAGAGACAGGAAGACTCTTTAGCAAACAAAACAGCTGTTTTAAGCTGCTGAGTCTGAGGAGGGTGCCGGCAGTAGTTAACAGAGCATTGCCTGGAGCTTGTCAAACAGGCACATCGCAGGCTTCATGAGTTCTCCACATGACTGTGAGCATTAAACCTGGAGAAGCATCATGTTATCCACCAAAACCAGATGTCGCAGACCTGGAGATCTGCTGTGGAAAGCACATCACAAAACCTTTTCCTTTGTCTTGCTCCAGGCACACTACCTGACACTCCAAGCTTTTTTGCCAGTGAGATGGTGGTGGGGTGGTGGGTGGTATCCTTCCCTCTTTGAATGAAAAATCAGAGCCTTGAAGAGAAGGCATTGGCTTGGGCATTTCTGTTTCTTCCTCCCTGGGATAAGGACACAGTGTCTGGAACTGGAGCAGATATCTTGCAACCATGATCATCGAGCCAACCTACTGAGTTTGGCAGAATAGGGAGGACCTGGGTTCCTGGGGCATTGTGAAACTTGTCAGCCTATGTGGCCTGCCTAAGACTTCCTGTGAAATAATCAGCCCCTCTCTACTTAACTATTAGATGGTGTTTCAGGTACATGAAGCCAAATCCAGGCCTAAATCACCCCAATCCCTGACAAACATAAAATTTCTTTTTTATCATCAAAGAAAAAAGTCACCACAAAGTACAACTAAAAAAGCAAATGACAAACCCAGGAAAATAGTCACAGTATGTTTAACAGAGGGATGATATCTTTAGCATATTAATATTTAAGACTTTGATAAATTTAGAAAACTAAGCAATCCCTAGAAAAATAGATTGGATAGTTTACAAAAGGAGAAATGGTTAAAAATCTGAAACCTCAGCAGGAATGCACATGGACAATAAGAAGTCAGCATTTTTCACCTATCAGTTTGGCACAGATTTTCCTTTTTTTTTAAATTAAAAACTGGCAAATTAGAGTAGTGTTTCTGGAAAGTGGTTTGGTTGTAGTCATTCCAACCCTTTAATCTAGTAATTATGCTTCTAGGAATCTGTCCTAGCAAAATAGCCAGAATTTCAGTTAGAGTTTTATGGGAAGGGGTGCTCATCGTGGTATTATTTATGAAAGTAAAATATAGAATTGTGTCAACTGGCCAATTATAAGAAAGCGGTTTGGTAAATGTTAGCATATATGCAAACTAGAATGTTTTGCTGCATATGGTAACTTTGTTCTTTGTTGGAGACCACCAGGAAGCTGCTCTGAGCAGGATTTAAATTTTACTAATTGGCTTTCTCTGTTTATCTGTGAGTCTGGCCTAGGCCTAGGCCCCTTGTAAGTGAACCTCAATTGAATCACTGGTCCTGGCTGAGGCCTGTTGGCCTGTGAGGCCAGAGATACCAGATACCACAAAGGGCAAGGTAAGGCCACGGCTGAAGACACCTGGGTTCCAACACTAATTAAGTCAATAGAGCCTGCAGATGCAGGCATCCCACTCCGGCAGTCTCCATCCTACTGTAAATGTTATCTTGGAGATAAGATGGGTCTCCTAAATTGGCTTAATTTACTACTTGGAGAAGTCTTCCAAGGCCGTGCTCATTTCCTGTGCTTTCCTCAGTTTCCCTGCCTTGTGTCCTTGGTCCTAATAAAAGTGGGCTGATCCAGAGAACTCTGTCTTAGCCCTCAGGGTCTCAAACTCAACTGACGGGTTTTGACCCTCCCGGAGTTCTAAAAAAAATCATACAATTTGTCCCTTTTTATTTAACCTCTGCTGTACACTCGTTTGGAGGATTGAAGACCTAGGTCAGGACCCGACAGTTCTTAATTCTGCTAAGAAGCAGGAGAGTTTAGCTGGCAACATTCAGGGTTTGGGGGAAACTGGAGTCTGAGTCCTCATCCCTTATGACCGAGACCTCAGCAATCTAGGTTACCTCCAGAGACCATCTCCTCATCTGTCCAGCGAGCACAAAAGCTGCCTAAAGGTGAAATGAGTTAATGTGTATAAAACGTTTGGTTCAGACCTGGCTAAACCGTGCTTCCAAATGGGAGGTTCTTAATATACTTGGATGGAAAAATGGGACTCAAAACTCCAGCCCAGTGCCAATTTTAGAAAAGAAAAACGATGAATATATGCATTTCTTAAAAAACTGGAAGGAAACACGCCAGATTGTTAAAGATGGTCACGTCTGGATGTTTTTAAAAATTTCCTTCTTTAGTTTTCAAATATTCTACAATGAGTAATTTTTACAATCAGGGAAATTTTTCACTTTTTAGAAACCAACTTAGAAGTCAAGCCTTGAGGACCTTCCTGTCTGTTAATAATATGGAGTGGATGTTTTGGATTGTTTTTCCACCAAAGTCTTTTGAAACCACCTCCTGACAAGTTAATAATAGGGTCTGTGTGTGCCAGGCATACATGGAAACTTCCGTCTCCATTTGACAGATGAAGCACAGAGATTCAGTCCTTGCCCAAGATCACACAGCTGCTAAGTTGCAGATTGAATTCAATCACAGTGTAATGCCAGATGCCTCCTGCACCACCTGGCGCCTCCTCCCACCTGGCCTGCATACCCAGGTGTGTGTTGGTCACAAAGTTTCCCATCCCCGGCAGGTCAGGAGCCCCTTCCTCTCTGCTCACGGGACCATCATTCCACATGAGGTCGAAGCCTCCGACTCGTTTTTCCTTTCCTGTGAGCCTGGACCAACAAGAGACACAGGGTTAAGGAAGGTGCAGCTGGTGGGGCCAGAGCGCCCCAGAACTGTACTGGCACGTGTCTGCCACCGCCCCACCATTCACAGGCCGTATCCTGGTGACCATGCCGGTTTCTGAGGCCTCCACACTTGCCGTGTAACGTGCCCCTGATTTGTGATTTCTCTCTGTGTCCCCAAAAGACACTGAGAAGGTAGCACTAGGTCTGTTGTGACCTTTACTGTGTCCTCAATGTGTGGCACAGGTCTGGCCACAGCAGAGACCTGAACACTTAATAAACATCCATTTCACCGTTCAGTCCAAGAGTTTTTCCCTTAAGAACCCTTCTCCCTCCATCACCCCCAGGATGGGATTGACACTATCCCGGGGGAGGTGGCCATGAGACCTAGAGTCATAATGCCTGGTCTGGGAATCGGTATGTGACTCAACCCCCAGCAATGAGAATTAGCCCTCCAGCTTTTGCTGAAATAATTGGAAAAAATCTCACTTAGAAGAAAAGAGCGAGGAGGGGAGTGAGGGAGAGGACGACGGACACACTTGGTGTGGAGGGACATGAGTGTGTGAGAGCAGATACGTACCAGGTAAAAAAGCAGGGAGAGAGAAAACAGACCTACCAGTCAACACCAAATATCTGGGTTTTCCCAGCCCTGCAGCCAGCACCTATTTTTTTCAATTATGTACACATTGTTAGAACCAGGTACTTACCATGAGCGAGGCACTTTGAGGGTAGTCATGCTTTCTATTTACTAATGAGGAAACTGAGGCTCAGAGATAAAGTGATTGGTTCCCAGGACCCACAGTCTGGAAGTTTTGGGTAAATCCTGCCTGAAAAACTATAGAGGGCCACAGTGCCGTGGAAAGGTCAAATCTAGGCCAAGAGACAATCTTATGTAAGCACCTCAGTTTCCTCAGATGTAATGGTCAAGCAGGCCAGGTCTCCCCCTGGCTCCTCTCTCTTGGTGAAGGCCCCACTGCTGTAGACAGAGCTTGTGGCCAAGGCTGCCCTCACCTGGCTTCCATGTCCACCACGTGCAATGTGTCCTCCAGCAGGCAGGTCTTGAGCTCGTAGTCCTCCTGGCTGCTGGCTGTCAGTGAGGGGGAAGCATTGACCTCCAGGAGCCACCTGGGACCGAGGGAGGGACAGCCTGAGTGCCAATTGGTTCCAGGAGCCACTGGGATGTCAGTGAAGTAGGCAGGTGCTTGGGTCCCAACCCCAGGCCAAGCAGGGCTGCTCCCTCCATCTGTCCTCCCTGGAGAAAGGCTGCCAAAGCGGGGAAGCTGGCAGGGGCGAGGGTGATGATGGGGGCCTCCTGTTGGTGTGTTTGCCTTCTTCTGATACACATGAGCACGAGCGAATCCTACTTTCCCTAGCTTTCCTAGTGTGTCTGTGGCTGGGCGCTCGCCTGTGCTCTCAGGGCTGGGACATGCTGGTGGGTGGGGAACTGTGCTGAGCTGAGCTGAGAAGGGCCTCTGAGTCTGAAAGGGTATTTCTGGGACAGTGTCAGCCTGTGGACTGTGAACCCAGAATTTCAGGATCCTCTGATTTTTCCAGAAACCCCCCAAGTCCCGGGTTTTATGTAAAAATTTCCCAAATTTTAGAGTCTGTCCATAAATTTAAACAACATTCTAAAGCCCAAAATCGGCTACATCTGCTGGCCAAGGCTCTCCAGTGTGCAACCTCTCGTTTTGTACAACCCACCATTTTAGACCGGAAGCTGGGGCGCAGAGGGAAAGGCTCCCCAGCAGTCAGTGGGGGACCAGGGGCACCCTTTTCATTCTCCTTCACCTTCATCCAGGAATTTCTCCCTGCAGTGTGTACCCTAATGTCACTGCCACATCATGCTGCAAAGAGGAGAGGCTCATTGGTGCTGCAACCAGTGGCTGACTTAGGTCTTGCTCTTGGCCCACTATGCCTGGTTAGAAAAGCCCCTCAGCACCGACAAGGTGACCTTGGTAGGGGAGACATCTCTACATCCAGCAGTGTTGTGGGGGAGCAGCTCAGCTTGGGTCTGCATAGCCTGGGCCTGGCCTGGCCTGCCCTTGACCTGACACTGACCTTATGCTCCTGGAACAACACATGAGCTTCCCTGTCCTGTTGTGTCACGCGAGCTGTTACTGCAGTCTCTGCCAGCTCCTCCCCCTCCATGGGCACTGTGGCCTTGCACCACATTCCTGGCATGGACACTGGGACCATATTCCCTTACGCAGCACTTCTCCTCTGCACCCAGGACTTGCAGAGGGAAGCAGCTCACTGGGTGCAAGGGGAGCATTTCTGCCTCAGCCAAGCAGGAAAGACCTCCTAGAGACAGGCTCGGTGGCCACAGATGATTACCTTTCATTCCTCCTCACTGAGAGGTACAAGCACTGTTACGGCTTGTGTCTAGATGTCCTCCCAAAGCCTCAGGCAGTCATAGGTGGGGGCTTTTTCAGAGGTGGCTGGATCTAGAGTGTATGATGGTGAAGTCTGTTCATGGGACAATGCCGAGTTCAAGGGCACTAGGAGTAGGGTACAAGTGCTACCCGCCTAAGTAGTCTGGATAAGGTAAAAGAGGCAGAAAGATGCTGTTAAGGTCCCTTGTTGCTTTTGCGGCCTTCTGCCCACCGTGAACTGTTGCTCCTCCACCATGTGCCACCCTGCCTTGGAGCCGGCTGATGATTGAAACTTCCATAAACTGTAAGCCAAATAAATCTTTCCTCCTTTAATTTTGGGTGGGTATTTTGTCTCAGCAACAAAAAAGGAACTAAGACAAGCACACTGGTCAACCTCATTCTACAGCTGGGCAAACTGACACACAGGAAAAACAAGTGTGTCCGAGATCTCACAGTGGCAGAACTGGGACTCAGGTGGGGTGGTCTAGAAGCGCAGTGTGTAAACCTTACGTGCACCCCCTCCTGCTGGGCTGCCCTCTCACTCACGGCTTGAGGTCCTGGTCGATGAGGATGTCATAGCCGTACAGCTCGAAGCAGTGCTTGTCGCTGATGATCACCTTCTGCACGCTCTGGAGGCTCTTGATGAAGATGTTGTCCATGTCGCTGAACAGTGTCTCTACCACCTGGGGGCTGTGCTTCGATGCTAGGTACTGCCGGAAGCGCTGGAGCATCCACTTGCAGCCCTGGGCCAGCAGCCAGATGGTGAGGGACTCGGGTAACAGAACCCCACCTGCTATGACCCTAGAGCAAACCAACTAGCATAGCCCTTAGGCCTGAGTTCCATGATTGGGACCATCTGGGTGTAGCCTCCTTGTGTGTAACTAACAGGACTGGCCACTAGGACCCTAGGTGTCCCTGCCCATGTGGCTTGTGCAAGCCTCTTCCCTCGGCCACCCTCCCTGAGGAAGGACTACAGTGACCATGTGCCTTCTGAAGCCAAGAGTGGCCAGAAGGAAGGAAGGCAGCAGGTATGAGCTGGGGTCACTGTTCTGTGCCCCTGATCTGGCCTGCACCCCTGAAAAGTCTAAGCATTTGTATTTGAATTTGGTCTTGAAGGTTTTTGTGCAGATTAGACAGATCGCAGATTAGATTGATAGGTGACATAGATGATAGATGAATAGCTAAGATAGCATATCTGTGTGATACACCAGTTGATGGACTGAGCAATAGGAGGTACTGTCCAGGTAGAAGGACGGAAGGCTTTTTGTTTGGGGTGCATTAGTTTGACCCGTAACTTTCAAAGATTCAGACACATGATCTGTGGACCATCTTGCACCCTTGGCTTGGGCCACACGAATGGGAAAGGTGGCCCTGTCCTCACCATGAACTGTGTCCTGTCTAAGCTTCTAGCCCTGCCTCCGCAAGGCTGTACTTGTGGAGCACAGAAGCCCGGCCCCTCACCTTGTTTGGGTGGTAGTCAGGAGATGTCTTCTGCACCGCGACGTTGGTGAGGTGAACATCTGATAGAGGTCGGCAGTCAAGGCCAGCGTGGACAAGAAGAGGGAGCCCTGCTCCACTACTGCCCCCGGCGATGGCACTGAGACCCTTGCTTGGGATTGACAGGAAAGCTAAAAAACAGCTCACAGGCCTTGGAGTCAGTCAGGTCTGCCTGCATTTGAGGGGCTGTGGGCTCCTGAGCAAGCCACTTAACCTTTCTGAGTCTTTTCCTCTACCTTGTAGGTGGGGCAATCTGACAGTGTGTTGGCTTCCCAGGATTATTTGAAGAATCAGATAAATCCTGTAGGAAATGGACACAAGGCCTGCATAGCTGATACTATATTATGGTATTTCAGCTCAAGCAGAGAGAAAATTTTCTTACCAAATATGGAATAGCCGCCTCAGGACACACTGAATGCCCCATTGCCACAGGGGTTCAGACTGAATAGCCAGCCACCTGCAGGAATCCTGGAGGAGGAGAGCCAGCACCAGTGCAGGGCTGGGGCAACCTTAGAAGACCCTGAGACTCTGCCTTGTGGTATTGTCACTGTTGTCACCCTCCAGCAATGCTGGCAACACTTCGCACACATTGTCGCATGTGTTCCCCAAATAATTCCCTCCTCCAGATGAGAAGCTGAAGGCTTAGAGAAGGCGATGATAGCCATTCTGACTACCTTGTAGGCCTAAGCAGGTTGGACCCCAAACCTCCCAAAATAAGACCAAACTATCTCCAGGACTTATCAGGGGACATTTCTCAGCCAGGGAGGAGATGGAGGCCTCATGTCACTGATTTAAGCCCAGTTTCTCCTTGTTTGTGGCATGTGGGACAGAGCAGGGTGGTGTCAGCCTCTCAGAGAAGGTAGCTGTCCTCTTTAGCATCTTTCTTTAAGAATGTCATCTTGGGAGTTCTTCAAAGACTTTCTTTCACATTTGTCTGAGCGGTTTTCTGCCCCAATTTCAAAAGAATAAGGATACAATCAATCACTAAATAGGAAGGGAACCCTTACATTTACAATCAGTTGATTTTCTAAAAGGCAACTCAAGACAAGTGTGGTAGCACATGCCTGTAATCCCAACACTTGGGAGGCTGAGGCAGGAGGATTGCCTTGAGTTCGAGGCCTACTTGAATTCTGGGCTACTTAGTGAGTTCAAGGCCAACCTGATCTGTACAGCAAAGGCCTGTCTCAAAAAAAATACTATTACCAAATGGCAATTCAGGGGCAGGGGAAAGAGCCTTCCACAAATGGGGTAGGGGTGCCTGGATGTCCAGGGGCAAAAGAATAAAAGGGGACCCCTTTCTCACACCATAAACAAAGCTCTCCTACAAATGAAATGCAGACCTACACAAAGAGAACTAAAAATTCAAAGAAGAATATATATAGGAATAAGTCCTTGTGGCCTTGGGCTAGGCAGAGTTTCTTCCTTCAACCAAAAGCACAATGAGAAAAGAAAAAAAACTGTCTGTAAAAACAAACATTTTAAAATTTTGTGTTTTAAAAGACATGATCAAGAAAATGAAAAGGTAACTCACAAAATGGGAGAAAATATCTACAAATCATTGATTTGAAACAACTGTACTCACAATCTATAAAGAATTCTTGTAATTCAACAACAAAAAGACAATTCTATTAAAATTGAGCAAAGGGGGGCCTTGGAGGAGAAACAAGAAGACAATTCACCCTTCCTGTGAGTCCTGGCAAAAGCATTTTAGTAAACAAGGCAATGTGCCCATCCCGTGAGTTGGCAGAAGCCGTGCTGGGCCTGTAACGAGTGACCAGTTACTGGGAGCAGTAACAAGAAACCGGTTCTCCCCTCCTGCCAGGCAGCTGGTGCAGAGGCAGCTGGTGCATGGGCTGGGCGACAAGAACATTGCACCCCCAACCCGCAAGCAACCAGCTGATAGGGAGAATCACAGGCTAAGTTAACAGCAACCGAGGTACAAAATCACCTTAATTCTTGCGTTGTTTGACTGACTGTGCAGATCTAGGGCCAGTAGTCTGAGCATCTACTAAGAGAATAACAATATGCAATATAGCAAATAAGGGGGATTTCCTTCTGTCTTGTTTTTGAAATCAAATATTGTTTTTGCTGTTGTTTTATTGTTTTGTTATTCAATGTTCTGTTTTATTGATTTGATTCTGTTCTGTTTTGTTTGATTTTATTATGTCTGATGGTATGGGCAGCAGTTTTGAAGGAGGCATTTCGGTAGCCATTGTTGGTTGCCTATTTTGAAATCCTATTATCCTGTTTTAAAATCCTATCACTTTCACTGTTTTGTTTTGATTGGCTTTATTGTTTTATTTTGTTTGGTTTTATTCTCTTTAAAATATGCTTTCATTCTTTTCTTTGATTGGTTTTATTCTGTTTTGTTTTGATTTTATGATGTGTGATGGTATGGATAGCTATTTTGCAGAAAACAAGAGACATTATGGTAGCCACTGTTGATTTCCTGTTATCTTGTTTTGAAGTCCTATATTGCTTTCTCTGTTCTGTTCTGATTATTTAGCTTTATTGTGTTTTGTTTGATTTCATTCTCTTTAAAATACAAAAAAAAAAAATGGGTAAAGGACTTGAATAGGCCAACAAGCATACAAAAAGGGCTTGGCATTATGAGTTTTAAGAGATAAGCAAAACAAAACTACCTCACATCTACTAGAATTGCAAAAATAAAAAAGATAGATAATAACAAGTGTTGGTGAGGATGCAGAGAAATTAGAGCCCTCAAAAACTGCTATTGGATGCCAGGGATTTACCTCAGTGGCATAAGCACCTGCCCGGCAAGTGCAAAGTCGTTTCGATCCCCAGTACCCCCCCAAAAAAACTGCTATTGGACGTGTAAAATGGTACAGCACTTTGGAAAACAGTTTAGCATGTCCTCACAAGGTAAGCATTGCATTACCTGTGACCAGTGAGTCTGATCCTAGGTGTATGCCTGAGACACAAAAATTTACATCGATACAAAAATGTGGTTATTAAAATTCCCAAAGCCACATTTCATCATAGAAAAATGTAGAAACAACTTCGAGTGTCCACCAATAGATAAGTAAATCCTATACCCCTTCACTGGGTATGGCGCTTCCACATAACGGCATGCAGTTTGGCGGTGATGAGGGAGGAAGTAGTGAGCCACAGGCTGTGGCAGAAGGAAACTTACGTCCTGCTAAGGAAAGAAGTCAGGCACAAAAGACCACACACTGCGTGGTTCCCTTCCCATGAAAGTCCAGCCTAGGCAAAAACACAGAGGCCGAAAGTGGTCACTAGGCTGGGAGGGGAGTGACAGCAAACAGGTGTGGGGTCTCCTTGGGGCTGATGGAAGTGCTCTCCACCCCCACGGCTGTGTGGTGCCATCCGGCTGCTTCAACTGCACTTTAGCGGGAGCATTTCCGTATGTGAACTGCATCTCAGGGCTCAACACAGTCTCGGTACAGAGCAAGAAAGAAGCTTGTTTTCTCTTATCTTTTCTTTTTCTTTTTCTGTACTTTGAGTTTCCTGATTCGTGTTTAGTGTCCTGTACTGCCTTTATGATGATGATGATATATAAACATATCATACATAAAGCTCAATTATATTCCCGTAAAGCGATCGTTTAAAACAGCAGGAAGCGCAGGAGCTCAGGCGTTTGAGGCGTTGGTTTTACTGGGGAAATCGTTCCCTCCCGGTCAGGGCAGAGGGGCCCAGCACTGCCCGCTCCTCGCTGCGGGCCTCCTGGGGGCCAGGGAGTTAGCCTCAAAGCCTCCCCTCTCCACACACAGACCCAGAATCCATTCAGGTGGCAGAGTAAACAAACCACTGAAATCAACCAGGAGAGACATGAGACCGATCCAGGTGAAGTCCTTGGGGAGAAAGGAATTCTCGGCATGACACTGGACATGACATTGGACAGACAAGCATATGAAAAATAGAAAAACCGCATCAGGACAAAAACTAAAGGTAAATATGACTAGAGGAAAGATGGTTGCAAATATGACTGTCATATTTCTGTCACATGAAAATCTCACAAAAATTGCTAGCAATAAAAGCGTTATGACTCTAATAAATAAGACTGTGGAACCCAAAAGAAAATCTAACTGGGAGGAGACCAACCTGGGGAAAGGATCAAAGCGCTGCTAACAGAAGAGACAGTGTAAAAGGCGGTGGGGAGCTGATGCTTCCTCCTGGTGTGAGTTACACCATTTTCATTTTGAAAAATTCTGAACTCAGAATAATGGCAAGATTATGCTTCACCTGGAAGTGCCCGTTGTCCTAGAAATGGGCTTTTAAGATGACTGTCCCCAGCACTGGCTACACTGCACTCAAACGAAATGGGCCTGTTAATGAGGGCGGGGTAAAAACCTCTGCAGAGCTCCTCTGCAGAGAATCCGGCAGATGCCCTTCACTCTGGTTCACTCCTCTGTGACACACAAGGGGAGACCGTAAACACAGTGAAGCGTTTACCACGGACGTTGTGCCTTCGCAGCCCTGAATGCCACAGCAGCAAGAACTGGCAGAACCCTTCCCAGCGCCTACACACTGGACCACCAAGCCATAAATCCACTCCATGGGATAGTTTACAGCTTAAAAAGATGTCTACAAGGAAAATTCGGAAGCTAATGTTTAGTGGGAGAAAAGGTTATCTATTTCTTCGGATGGATCTCACATGTAAAAAGTAATGGACACCATGAAAAGTTCTGCAAATGGCGAGCAGCTGTGTCTGGAAATGTGCCTGGAGAAAGAGGCTCCTTTTGTTGCATTGTTTGTACTCTGCGGAGTTTCCTGATTTGTGTTTCATGTGCTGTGTACCTTAATGAGGACAGCAGTATCCTCTACACACTACTGTTTGTATTACCAGAGAAGAGCACCTCGGTTGGAGAAAAGGTTTAAATGCAAGGAAGTGCTGAAACCAGGAACAAAGTGTTTGCTGACCTGATTCTAATCCTCTGCAACTTTCAGGGGTAGCAGATTACTAAATGATGCTCACGCTTTTTCCTAACATAAACATCTTTTTTAAAAAAAGTAAAACAAGATAATAAAAATTTTGCACCTTGCTGGTTTTTTTTTTTCCCACTTAAAAGTGGCAGTTGCTTTTCCATTTCAATCACTGATTGTCCTTACCAGATCCAGGACATCATGCGATGCTTTATAATTCACTCCGCCCTCCCACCAGGGTGAGTTGAGTTGTTTCTACCTGTTCACTATTATATACAGGATTTGTGCTGGTATTTTCCATTATGTATATATAGATGTATATGTGTATTCATATACACTTGATTACTTTGAACAAATTATATATAATAAACAATAAAGTCAGTATTTGATTATTTTGTAACCCCAAAGTTACTTTATTATTTGAAGAGTTGTTTTGTAACATCTGAAGCAAATATGGCAAAATATTACTGTCTGCTAATAATGGACAGTGGATACACAGGGCTCTGTTTATAGTCTTTTGGGCAGTTTTCTCTGTATTTTAATACTGCAAACTTATAAACAATTTAAACGGTGTGGTAATGATATGTACTCACTCACTGTGAGTATTTAATGAGCAAAGTCTCATAAAATAAAAGCCAGCCCTGGGAAAGGGCTAGGGCTGTTTAATGAGTCCCCGGAGATGGGCAGACACTCGTTAGTGAGGGCGGGAGGACACTCACATTTACTAGGGTGTTCACTCTGCTGGGCACTGTTTGTTGGCTTTTGCATATTTTAATCTTAATTAAAAAAACAAGGTGGCAAAAAACCAGAATTAAGTTAAATTTGATGACTTGCATGTGACAAATCCTTAGCGTTACAAAATAAAAGTGATATGTTATAAACAAAATGATGAAGTTGAAAAAAACAAACTAAAAGGTACTCAGAGCTGGGCATGGCGGTGCACATCTGTAATCCCAGTGTTCTTGGGAGGCTGAGGCAGGAAGATTTCCTAGTTCCAGCCCAACCTGGGCAGCTTCGTGAGTTAGCAAGATATCTTCTCAAAATAAAAAGGGATGTGAATGTAGCTCAGTGCAAAGGTCCTGGGTTCAATGCCCAACCAAAATAAAAAGTACTCAGAAATGCCTAGTATCAACTGTCCATGCAGGTAGATGAAATCGATACGTGGGATGCCCCCTTGAACTAGACCAGGAAATGAAGGCAGAGTCGTGAACTGGCTAAGAACATCGGCTGGTTCCCAGCCAGAAGCCCGGCAGCCTCACTCCACCCCACCCCCTTTCCCTCTGGACGATGATCTCCCGAGACAGGTGATCCAGACCTGCCCACCCAGCTCCCAAGCAGTTCATTCTGAAGCTCAGACCTCGAAATCCTAACACCTTTTGCTTTTGATGTATATCATTTGCAGATAATACATTTCATGGGTCAAAAGTACAAAAATGTATATATCAGGAAACATCTTTCCACCCCTGTCCGCCCATTCATTCTCCTCCCAGACACAATTTCTGTCTCTGGGTTTTGTTTTGTTTGTTTGTGGTTCTGGGGATTGAGCGAGGCCCTGGCATATGTTACTCCCGTACTGAGCTCCACTCCCAGCCCTGTTTCCAGTTTCCTGTCCCTCTTTCAGAGACCTCTGTAGGCACAGACCAGCAAACACACATAGAAGTGATTCTTAATGTGAATGGAAGCACATTTTTCATTATTCTATACTTTGCTTTTTCCAGTTAATAATTCATATTTGCACATTCCATTTTAACAGCTGCATAGTATTCTACTATACAAAGGCACTTCTCATTTGCTACTTTTTTGGGTCTCACAAAAAAGGGTTGTACAGTGACTAACCTGAGGACTTGTCCTTTCCAGTGTTGGGGAAATACCTGTAGGATAAATTCCCGGAGAAACATTACCAGAGCACACAGTGTGTGTGTTTGGCTTTTGATAGATATTTCCCAGACTGCCTGCTAAGGGTGTGGACCGACTCACACTCCCAGCAGCAGCACAGGGATGCGCCCAGCCCTGCCAAGGCAGCGCGTCAGCAAAGCCTGGCCTCTGCCAAGTGGACGAGTGAAAGTGGAGTTATGTTTGGATGGATACAGGAGCCAGTGACTGGCACTGAAGAGGAAGAGGCATTAAAGGATGCAAGCGTCCCCCACAGGGCAGGCCGTCTGCTCCACTGCACCATGGACATGATGTCCACCCAAACCATTGCCCAGAGGAGCAGCTGGGGGCCAGCGGCTCAGAGCAGAGAAGCAGGTCCCTCTACCCCGTCGCCTCACAGGGAAAGGACAGGGCGGTTGCATCCTGCGCCCAGACTCTCACCGGAACCCAGCCCACAGCCGGGCTGAGGCGGCTCCCTCGGGAAAGGCAGAGGCCAGACGGGCTCGCACAGCCGCGGAGCCCAGGATACACTGATCGTCGATGCTGCTCAGCGTGAAGCGGGTGTTGGAGAATCTCGCGAAGCCGTCCCTGTAGAGCCAGGCGCGCAGCGGCAGGTACTGAGGTGGAGGTGGGGACGGAGGGAGGGAGACAGGGGACTCGCTGGACATCGTGGCCCCAGGCTTCTGCACCTGCTGTCCCCTCACTGGAAGGCTCTGCGTTCTTTGCAGGTCATCCATCCTTCCAGGATCCATTCCCACACGTCTTTTCTTTTCTTTCTAGTATTGGGGACTGAACCTAGGACCTTCCCCTGAGCCACACCCCAGCACCAGCCCTTTTTTGTTGTTTTATTTCGGGACAGGATCTGCCTCAGTTGTTAAGTTGCTCTGGCTGGGTTTAAACTCACAATTGTCCTGCCTCAGCCTCCCAAGAGAGCTGGACTCACAGACATGCACCTCCGTGGCCTAGTTAACATCAATCCTTGACACTGTCCCTTCCTTTTGGGAGCGGAGGAGATGCAGAAGGGAGAGGGAATGGCCTGGGCTCCCCCACTGTGCGTGACACCCCAGCAGATGTGAGTCCTAGCAGCAATGGGTGAGCCTGTCTCAGACAGCCCAGTGTCCCTGTGCCCAGCACAGAGCAGTGCATTGTGAAGGGTTAAATATTTGCTGGATGAATGAATGAACGAACAAACAGACCAGCCAGTGGGTGAAGGGAGAACAGCAGCCCTGGAGTACCAGAGTAGACTCTGGGGACACGCTGTCTGGATTTGAGTCCCAGTTTTGCCCCTGTGTGTCCCTGGGCCAGTCTCCGGTGTTTGTTCCCATCTGTAAGATGAGGTAACACTCAGAGCTCCTCACCAGGTAGGTGGAGGGACTGGATGGCAGCCAGCCCGCTGCACAGATAGCCTGTGGTTGCCATGGATGGCTGAGTGGAGAGGCACAGGGAGAAAGAGCGAGGTGCTGGCCCGCCCAGGACGGTGAGCCTCAGCTGTGTCTGCTTGCTGCGGCTCAGGCGGAGAGTGAACCCCTGAGCTCACGCACAATCTTCTGGAACAGCCCCCCCCCCCCCCCCCCGGCCTCGGTGACTCACCGACATCACCAGCACATAGACTCGCAGGTCAAACTTGCGGCCTGTGGGCAAAAAGAAAAAAAAAAGAGATTAATTTGTGTAGCAAATATTGAGTGTGTGTCAGACAGCATGCTCCATGGGGGATACAGCAGGATGGACACAGATTCCTTTTACAGAGCTCCCAGGAACACACACACACACACACACACACACACACATCATGGTACAAGACGATAACAGGGTAAGGGGTGTCAAACTCTGTGACCTATGACAAGAGAAGGTGGCTTCTGACCCCAGCATGCCACAGTGCAGGGTGAAGTAGTCTCAGGCAGGACAGAGGCCCAGAGGGCACCACCAGCCCAGGCAGAGGGAGATGGGGAGACAGAAACAAGGGTGGCAGGGCAGACCAAGTGCAGTCTTTGGAGTCTGTTCAAACCCTGGGTGTGCCATGTGCTGGCCTCTGTGCCACAGTGGAGCTAAGGGGACCGGGCCAGTGGGTGCAGGGAAGGAGGTCATGGCCAGGGCTAGATGGAGGTGAGGGGTGGTCAGACAGCTTCAGGAGCTGGCCTTGAAGAGTGGGTGTGTGCGGGGCGGAACCTGCTGTGCCAGGCAGAGCCCTCTTCTGGGCTTCCAACAGAGGGGAAGAGGCTGAAGGTGAGGGGGCTGCTGGGAGAGGGCTGGGCTTGGGAGGGTCTGGCTGAGGTCGAGAGATCCGGGCCCAGGGGCGAAGCGTCAGCTGGGAGCGTGAAGCTGGGGCCACTGATGTGAAGCCACAGAGAGGAGCCACACATAGGTCATCGTATGGGGACGGGGAACCAAGTGGCACTGACACCCTCTCTGCCCGCACGCCTGTGTCTGCAGACCCTGTGTGGGAACACACAAGGCTTCAGGGCTCAGGCCCCCTGGGCCTTGTGCCTCCTGAGTCTCCCTCCAGGTCCACCTGGGTTCCTGCAGGTCTCTGGCTTGGTGCTGTCCACTCCTCCGGGGTGCAGGCGCCATGAGAGCAGTGGGCAGCAGGGCCCAGGCCACGGCTGGCACCAAGGAAGAGCTTTATACCCATCTGCAGGACGATGCGTGAGTGATTAACTCAGTTCTCCAAGAAGGGCGCAGGCAGAGTGCGCAGCCCGTGGGCTGTGCTGGGAAGTGGGAGGAGGCAGGGCAGAATGCCTCTGCCCATCATCCCCTCTGCTGTCAGTGCCAGTTACTGACGGACTGCTTGACTACTGGAGGGCGGGGAGCCAAGGCCGGCATCTCACCTCCGATCAGGTAGGGATTCTCGATGTAACGCTGAGCTACGTAGTTCTCCACGGGTAGCTCATCTTTCTGGTCATCAGAACTTCTCGCGTCCTACTTGTAATAATGTTAATCACTGACAGTCATTAAGCATTTTCCCATGTAGTAGGCATGATCTTTGGGGCTGTACTTGGGCTATCTTACTTAACCCTCAAATCAACCCCCTCGGGTAAGTATTAATGTAATTCCTATTCTCACAGATGAGAAACCAAAGCACAGAGAGGTGGAGTCACTTGCCCAAGGTCACACAGCTGGCCGGTGGTATTCGTGGAGTGTAGACCCATATGCTTTGGGCCCAGGACCCGAGCACTTGACCTGTAGACCCGGATGCCTGGTAGGGCAGTCACTGGCTACACGTGGTTATTTACATTTAAATCGCTCAAAAGTAAATGAAGTCACATGCTACAACATGGGTGAAACTTGACGACAGGATTCTAAGTGAGAAAAGGCAGATGCCGAAGGGCAAATATTATAGGGAAAGTCAGACTCATGCAGGCAGAAAGCAGATGGTGCTGGATGAAGGGCAGCGCTGGTGTTTAAGGGGTGCAGAGTTTGTGTTTGGGCTGGCCACACAGATGCCTGGTGATGATAGTTGCAAAACAATATGGACACACATGATGCCCTGGGACGGTGCCCTGGGGCAGGGTGAAGGAGTAGAGATTATGTTGCATTTAGCTCAGCACAATTTGTAGAAAGGAAGCGAAATTTAAAATCCAGGCCCCCCGCAGCCTGTCCAGTGCTCTGTGTTGCTGTGACTGGTGGTCAGCCTATCCGAGAGCGTGGATATACGCAGTTTCCATCACTGTGAAGGGCTGTCCTGGGCAGCGCTGCCCAGCCCACCCAACAGGTCTCCACTGGAAGACAGGCGCTGTCACAGGCTCAGCTCTCCCAGCCTGCAAAGCCCTCTCCTGCTGCTGTCCCCTTCCGGCTACCTTGTGAGGGACCAAGGTCCAAACACAAGGTCCATTCCCTGCTGGGTCAGCACAAGGGCCCAGGGGAGGCCAAAACCCAGACCTCCAGGCTTCGAGGCCAGACTCCACCCCCACCAGCCACCACCCCACCTCGCCACCCAGGCTTTTGCTTCCTGTGACCTGAGCCACCCCACCTCTACTCACGTGGGTGCCAGAGGGATTGGCAGTGGCAGCAGCGGCACGGACGGGCTGGGCCTCCAGGCTGGTGAACTTCTTGCCGGCAGTGCCCTGATGGTGGCATGGGAGGAATGGGGACACTTGGGGTTGGTGGCAGGGAGACGTATTAGTGCAGCACTTGCTGTGAGCCTGTAGGAGCTGGGTCATCCCGTGCCTCCCGCACCATGGGCACCGCTAAGGTCCAGAGGGCTGCACCCCTTTTCCCAGGAACACACAGTCTGTGCATGCCAGAGGCTGGATTTGAACCTGGATTTCCACTGCGCTTTGTGTCTGGGCCTGAGGGTGTGAGGCTCAGCTAGGACCCAGAGGAGGAGCCAGCTCTTCCCTGTCTCTCCCCAGCCCAGAGCAGGAGGCAGATAAAGAGCTTGGGGTGTGGAGCCTGCTAAGTGCAGTCCCTGTGGGTGGCTGCCTATCACCTGTGTGTCCTCAGCAGCCACTGTAATTATCTCCACTTCCTGGGGCACCAGGGGGTCCAGCAACTGCCCAAGGTCACAAGATCAGGATTTGAATCCAGGCAATCTGGCTCCAGAGATCCCCCCTGTGGGGAGGAAGGAGGGGTCCTTTCCTAGCCAGAGCACATGTTGGGGAGGTTGGGAAGGACAAGCTCACCTTCCTCCAGTCCATGATGTCCTTCAGCCTCCGGAACAGGAAGATGCCCTTGCCCTGAGACCGCGCAACCTGGGACGTGTGGACAAGGAAAGCAGATCTCACTTGGGGGTGCTGGGGCCCCCTGTGCCTGGGGCCCATCTCCCACACTTCTCCATGCCCCCCTTGCTTTGCCATAGGGGCCAAACGAGTGGGGGTGACAGCCTGACTTAGCTCACAAAGACATACATTTGCATGAATAATGCAAAAGAACAGACAATTAAAAAAACATTTCTAACAGTCCTGGGAACATATCATCCAATTCTTTTTTTGGAAATCAATTTGCCTTCCTAATTAGGTTTTGCTTCGGCTAATACTGAAATCAGTGTGCGTTTACTGAACCCCAGCATGGATAATTCATAGCTCACTGAGCTGGGGGCTGGGAGAATCTTCAGGATCTTGCTGAGTGGTCCTCATGAAGGTATTACTTCCTCCTATAAGAGCCTACAGTGCTCTTCTACAACGCTCACCTGCCTGGCCTTGCACACCTCCAGTGCCCAGGAGCTCACTATCTGTCCCGGCCCCAAACAGCCCTTTTTGTTGCAGGATAGCTTTGTTAAACAGTCCCACACTAGATGCCTACTTCGTGCTGCATCATACACTATCACTGCAACTCAGACCTCATGGAACTTCCACAGCCTAACCTGTACTAAGCTAAAGTTTACCAGTCTGGTCTAGTTTCTAGAGCTCTCCTGGAGCAAATCTGATTCCAGGGCACCAGAATTGCCCTTTAGCAATTCATCAATGCACCCAGCAAGCGCAAACTCACTTGTCTCTGTTCTCTGGGGACACGGCCCACCAGGCCCACCCAAAGCTCCCTGTATAACACTGGCCAGGCAGAGCTGGCAGGCACAGCGGCACAGGCTGCCCACTGCTCATGCTGGGGCTCATACTCCGCCTGCCACCCTGTGTATACTACATGAGAGCCGTGTGTGCCCGGAAGGGGTCCGAAAGACTACAAGGCACAGTAAAGGAGCAGGGGCAGCCAAGTGTGCAGTGACCAAACAGCAATGTGTCAGTGGACATCGATGGCTTTCCACCAGGTCCCCAGCCTTGCAGAAAGCTTGAGCAGGGACATCACTGTAAACAGGGCCTCAGCTTCATTAGTCACCAGGGAGATGCAAACAAAATCACAAGAGATACCGTTACACTCTCCTTGAGAACGGTTAGACAATAGCAAGCATTAGTGAGGACAGGGAGAGACCGGAACTCACACACAAGGGCAGGAGTGCACTCTGTTTGGAGGTGCTGGGCAGAAACAGCCCTCGAGCTGTGCCCCCAAAGCTCCTCTCCCAGGTACCTCACAACAGAAATGTGCAACCTGAGGATCGGGACAGGGACATCGTGGCCGCACAGTTCATTCATAACAGCTCCTACTTTGAAACTCTCAATCAGGTGAACGTCTACTCAATGGAACAACGTATGAACAATTTACATCAGCAGGGAGCATTGCGTGCCTATAAGGCAGAGCGGGGAAAGTAGGCACGAGCTGTCAGGCTCAGTGATTCCAGTGACTTCAAGCACACAAACAGGTCTACGCTGGTAGTGGCAGGGAGCAGGTGTGAGTAGAAGGGGCTGAGAGGGGATGCTGGGAGCTACTAAAGTTTATGAGTCTGGTGCTGGTTACCTCAGTGTGTTTGTGAAAATTCATACCATAATCCCACAACTTGGCCAATTTTTAATGTTTTATTTAAGTTCAACTAAAAAGTATCTTTTAAAGTTCATTCCTTTTGATCTCAGAACCCCACCCCACCCCTGCTGGTTTCCCTGTCCACCTCTTTCTGGCTGCCAAAGCCCATCTCTTCTGAGGGGGTTGGAAAGGCTAGATGCTAGTTTTCCCAGCTTTTCTTGAAGCTGGTGGAAGCCATGTGGCCAGTTTTGGCCAATAAGATCTAAGAACCTATCTGCTTAGTGATTCTGGGAAGATTTTCTACCAAAGAGGGGCCAGTCATGGCGGTATGCACTTGTAATCAGCACTCTGGGAGGGTGAGGCAGGAGAATCACAAGTTCAAGCCCAGCCTGGGGAACGTGTTGCCTGGCAATGTACAAGGTTGGTAGGGCTGGCATCACTCATTAATCTGGCAGATGGCATCTTCTACAAGCAATCACAACATCTCCCGTCTCAACATCACCTCCCCTTGAATCCACGTGAGCCCTCAGGATGCCTCCTGTGTGTGGCAGGGTCATGGGGTGGGATTGTCTAGGCAACACAGCTCCCGCACTGCGATGAAACACACAGAGATGATTATTGCTCCCGTTCATCCCCTGTGGTGGTGATCTTCTCAAGGATAGATGGCCAGACACTGACTTAAGCATAATGATTTCTAATGACAGTGACACCAACAGCTACAGTAATATTTGTTGGATGCTCATTCTGTGGCAGGCCCATGGACTCGCCAACATTATCCTCTGACATAGGGTAATATTGTTCCCCTCTGCAGCCAAGGAAACCAAGGGACAGAGAGGCCAAGTGTATTACACAAAGTCATCCAGCCAGCAGGAGAAAAATCCAGGATCATTAAATCTATTATGCAAGCCCGAGCCCCTGTCTGTACCACTTGCAAAGTGCCAGGGGACACAAATCAATGATAAAAATGAGGCCATTTCTGGGGATGTCTGTCTCACTTGATATTTGGGGAGTAAATTATTTATATATATAAAAAGGTCTATTTGTGATTGAAAAAAATTGAGTGGATTACTAGAATGAATTGTAGCTTTGATTTGGTGTCAGCTATGGTCATTCACAGTCCTTGTCCTCCTGGGAACTCTGCCCTGTCCCTGAGGGCCACACGCATCACGTGACAATCATAGTGGCATTCACTGAGGGTGGCTCCCCCATGGCTGCTCCCTCTTCCCAACAGATCTACATTTGGGTCAACTCCTCCTGGTAGCCCTGCCTTCTGGGGCAGTCTGGTCTCCTCCCACCTCCTGTGACTGGCTCAGGCACTGACCAGCAGGGTGCCAACCAAAGCTGTTGCAGAGATTTCTGGGAAAAGTTTGTGTCCTTCAAAAGTGATCCAAGACCAGGGCATTCCTTTATTCTCATAGCATGTGGAGATGTGAGGATCTGAAGCTAGAGCTGTGGCAGCCACACTGTGATTGAGAGGACCAGCCTGCCACTTTGGCAGGGAATTGATAATGCTGCTGAGTCCCAATAGAGTGCCCCTGTATCATTCTTTATTAAAGGAAATGCCCTCAGATCTATAAACCTGAATGACAAAAAAATTGTTTTCAGGGGACTGGGGATTTAGCTCAGCGGCATAAGTGCCTGTCTTGCAAGTGCGTGGTCATGAGTTTGATCCCTGGTACCGGTAAAAAAAAAAAATGTTTTCATCTTTATTGTCACACTCCAGCCAGATTTCTACATTTCCTTCTTTATGAGTCTAAGCCAGGCCTATCACTTTGCCATTAAAAGAAATCAGTTACTTTTTCATTGTATTACAAGTACTACAGCTATTTCAAAAAAGTGTTTATGCACCTTATGACTTGGAAATTTAAGGGTTTTGTGAGCGTGTGCGCTGCAGTGGAGAACGAGGCCTCCACTCCAGCTGCAGGGTGGCGTGGGATCGCGGACCTCCGCGGGCAGCACCCTCATCTGCACAGGCCCCGCCTCCCGCCTCCCGCCTCCCTCCCGCAGCGGCTGCTCCCAGCCAGCCTGGCCTCCCGCAGCAGGACGCCTCCGCTGACCCCCGGCCTCTCCCGAGGCTGCGCTGCAGTGAGGACCCACGGCTCCTCCCTCCTCGCTTCTTCCTTCCTCCTTCCCTGGGCCCACTGCGGCTTGAACCCTGCAGCCCCTCCCTGTGCCCTGCCGTTCTTTCCCGGGTTGAATCTTGACATCTGTTTCTGAGAGGTCCACGCTAACACAGTTTGATACCTGTTTTTCAACAGAGTTGCTTTGCTTTGTAACCAAATGTACTTTATACTTTTAAAACCATTGCTTTTTCATAGGTCCCTATTTATCTCTAAATTCATTAAGTTGTACAAATTAAATATGTATAGTAGCCGGGCGTGGTGGCTCACGCCTGTAATCCCAGCACTCGGGAGGCTGAGGCAGGAGGATCATCGCGAGTTCAAGACCAGCCTGGGCTACAAAGTGAGCTGAAGGCCAGCCTGCACTGCACAGAGAGACCCTGTCTCAAAAAGACAAATATATATACATATATATATATATATATATATATATATATGTATAGCTTGTATGTGTACAAAGCTTTTTATTTTTTTTAGTTCTGAAAAAAAAAAGGTCTTGCTATGTTACCCAGGCTGGCTTTGCACTTGAGAGCCTCCGGCTTCAGCCTTCTGAGCCATTAAAATTGGAGGCATTGAGATTGGAGGCGTGGGCTAACAAAGCAGTTTTAAATAAAACATTGTCCTGTGACAGGATCCACACATGTCATCATACATTAATGGCAGGGAAACGGCTTAGATGTCTTGCTCTCTTATTTAAACCAGTGTGTGTGTGTGTGTGTGTGTGTGTGTGTGTGTGTGTGTGTGACAGGGGTCTGGACCCAGGGCAAGTGCTCTACCACTGAGCTAAGTCCAGGAGAGGAGAAGGAAAAGGAGCAGAAGGAGCAGGAGGAGGAGCAGGAGCAGAAATGGGCGGAGGAATGGGAGGAGGAGGAGGAGAAATTCTGCCCTGGACTGTGACACAGAAATCCGCCTGATATCCCAGCCCTCCAGCCTGCCCTGCTGAATTCTGACTTGCTGGTCCCCACGATATTGCATGAGCCAAGTCCTTAAACACCCACGCCCTGGCCTTGGGTTTCCCTGGAGAGTCCTGGGAACTGGTCAGGAGAGCACATTCACAGGCCAGGAGAGCCGAGCGGCCCAGGCTTGGGAACCACTGCTTTCCAGCCTCCCCACTCCAAGGGTCGTCCATCTGGGGACGGCTGCAGTGGCATCTGGGGTGGGGGGGGGGTTTAGAACTGCAGCCACTCAGGCCCGCCCAGATCTGTGGAGTTGGGCTCTGCCTTTCAATCAGGTCCCCAGATGGCGCATGGCCACATTTAAGTTTGAGAAACTCCGAACTTGTGCTTCCGGGGGCAGGTGGAAGAAGGGCTGGGTTCTTGGAAAGAACGTGGAAAAACATCAGTTATTGGGCACCTCGTGCGGAGGCCTTGACGTAACGCGTGTGGTCTGTGTGTGTAACGTGCATCACTCCTTTGCCTTGGCTCACCACCCCTCGCTGGTCCTGCTCAATCCCAGGAACCTACGCAGGTCACACAGCTCAGACAGCCTCAGCTATTCAGAGGAGACGACACACGCGCACACACATACACACACAGCCAAGACTCTGCCTCTTAATTACAGCTGTCGTTGCCTCTGCTGCTAACAAAGGCCTGGGCTGGGAAGAGAATCAGCTTAATATGCAACTGCTCATTGGCAATTAGTGCAGATGATCATTTGTCTGCGAGGATAATGCGGGAGCTGGAACCCGCCCCTGGGCCACAGCGCTCAGCCTAATCCCTGCTGCCAGCCAGAGTCCTGGCTGCGCCTGCCCGCGGCACAGGGAAAGAGGGGTCCCGGGAAGGACCTGCAAGCCTGGACATCCTGGCTCGGTCCTGCGGGAGCATCTCCTGTGCTGCTTCTTCCATCCCTCCAAGCACTGGGCTGATTGCTAAGTCGGCATCAGCCAACATGGGGACCCATATTCGGCTTCATAAGAGGGCTGCTCCTGGCTGACAGCAATCCCTTCCCTTTCGGGTTCCCCGGGGCCCAGAACCACAGGGGCTTTGGGCTGCCTCCAGGACAAGGCCTCGATATACACGGTTCCCTCTGGAATGCTGTTCCTTGTCTAGGCTGGCTCCTAGGCCTCCTTCAGGTCAAAGCTCACTGCCAATTCTTATAATCATGACTATTATATTATGTACACTACCTATGGTAACTTACGGCAGGTACTATAGTTATTCTTGCTTTGCAGATGGGGAGCTGCGACACAGAGAAATTGAGTAACCTGCCTGGCGTCACACAGCTAATTAGCACAGCTTATAGAAGCCCGATCTCTTACTTCTTTGGAGAAGCCTGCCTAGGTGGGGGGACTCCCCCTGCAGTTCCCCTTCCAGATACCATTCTTCTTAAAGACACTCAGCACAGCTGTGACCACACACATCTCCTCAGCTGGCTCGCGGTCTGCACTCAAGGAGCGCAGAGACCATATGTGACTTGCTGAGAGCTGTAATCTCAGGCTTTGGTCCCAGAACCTATGGGATACTTGAGTACACTCTTGGGTGCTTCATCTGTGAAATGGGACTATGACACCCACGCGCGTGGACAGTCATGCAACAGAACCCTTGGCATGGCCAGTCACTGTTTCCTCACACGTCAGGGAGGGAGGCTCTAGACTCCCTGCCCTGGCGTCCTGAAGATCACTTGTGCCTTCACTGAGGCTCCTCAGCACCTGCTGTGTGCAGCTGTTAGCTGCTGGACCCGAACACTGCAGACCAGAAGGGAGCAGAGATGGCGCTCCGAGGCTGACTGTCTAGGCAAGTCGGTCCTCGCTCTGAGCCTTGGGCTCTACGGGACCCCACTGTCCCCCTGCCCCAGGCCCTAGTGGTCACTCACAGGCTTCATGATCCAGGTGATCCCTGGGTGCTTGCGGAACTCCTCCACGAACAGGTGGTACTCGCAGGGCATCTCAAAGGTTTTGGGGAAGAAGTCACACTTGGCCGCCTCCAGCTTTCCTGCCTCGCGCTCCAACTGTCTCCGGAACCTCTTCAGGTTCTTCACCATGTAGTTCTTGCGGGTCAGCTAGGTGGGCAGGGCAAGTGGGGGGCCTCCAACTTCCTGTCCCCCAGAACCCCAGTACCACAAGCCCCCGCTTCTGTGGCCCATGGAATACTGTAGCTGTGACAGAGTGCTGCTTTCTGTGACTATCCCCAGTTCACAAGCAGGGAAACTGAGGCTCCCAAGCTTATGTTGTTGCCCAGGGCTGCTGACTAACTGGCAGCACGTCCAGGCTTTGCCCAGTTCTGTCTGGCTCCTAAGTTCCTAGTTTTAATCACTGAAATCATCCAACCTTTCAGCATTTCCCCTAATTACTCCTCCAAGGCTGTCTTTGTGGCCTGGTTCCCCCTTCTGCCTAACCCTCAAACTTCTCTGCTTAACCCCCAAAACAGCCTCCGCAGACCAGACTACTCCTCCAAGCCTGCGACCCCAAATCTCCATCCTTAGGCCTCAGGCCTTAGTTCCTCACACCCTCAAGCCACCTGGTTCATAAGTACGTAGACTACAGACACCCCAGCTGGCATGTACCCCAACATCCCCTTACACTTTCCATCCTGGGCCGTGAGCCCTCCACTCCCAGTTACACGAGTCCACAGGCCCAGCTCACCTCGTAGTGGTTCCGGAAGTGACTGATCCGCACGTGATCATCCATGTAGGTGTGATCGAAGTTCTCCCGGAGCCAGCTGACATCACACCAGTAGAAATCCCATTCCCCTTCACTGGGGGCAAAGAGCATGGTGAGGGCCTCAGTGCTGCTGGGGGTCAGGGCCAGGGAGGGCCTGGTGTGTCCCGCAGGAGCCTCTAGGACATGCAGTGTGGGTGCTGCTGCTGCTGCTGCAGGTAGCTGGCTGCCTGACCCTCAGCAGATCTGGCCACACTGAGCCCTGAGTGCCCCTGGTACCTATCAGCAGACAGGACATGCCCCCTGCAGAGCACCCTCCATACAGCATGTGACACACCTGTCCTTGCTACCTGCCTAGGCCCAGGGGGCGCCCACATTGCTGTCAACCCTGCAGCTTGCAGTATCAAGCGGTGGAACTGGGTCACATCTGTAAGCTCCTCCCAGCTCACAGAATTCCCCATCACCAATCCTCAGAGCACTCCTGAGGGGATGACAACCATCCCCCCACTGTAAGGTGCTTCCTCACTGAGGACATGGTGCCACACCTAGCTCTATGAGTCCAAATTCTGACCCCAAGCCTTCACTACCATGACAGGGACAAGGACAGGGAACCAGGTCATCTACCAAATCTGGGTACCAGAGCAGGGGTGCAGGAGTTTGGGAGCTCCAAAAAGATGAAGCAGAAAATAAAACACCACCATGATTGCTTCTACAGTCTAAAAAAAAAATGTAGCTATAAATGAAGCCTACTGGGTCTACCCTGCCTGAGTCTACCATCTTCTCTTCATGCCTCAAAGGAAGCGAGTAGCCAGAGGTGTAGCTTCTGTTATTATGCCCATTTTACAGAAGAAGAAACTGAGGCGGGAATAGAAAAGTTAAGAAGTTCACCCAAACTCATCCAGTGATGAGTGGCAGACCAGGATCTTAATTTAGGCTACCAGATTCCAGAGTCCAAGCTCCATGGTTAGATCTACGCCTGTTCCCTTTCATGACTTCCTTCTTCCCACCAATCTCTTGTTTTAGAGATTTACCCATTTGTTGCATAGGAGTCCAATCTGGCTGCTGCCGCTTCTTCTCCTTCTCCTTCTCCTTCTCGTTCCTCTTCTTCTTTGCTTTCTTTTTTCCTCCTCCTTTTCTCTCTCCTCCTCCTCTTCTTTTTCCTTTTGCAGTGCTGGGGCTAAAACCCAGGGCCTCACTCATGTCAAGCATGTGCTACCACTACCACTGAGCTACCTACCTCCTGAGCCCCTCCTGATTCAGCCATTTGTACCACTGTGTTCTTTTTCCATCGAATGAATACCACAGTGTGTGTGCCCATTTTCCAGGTGTTCAGGTTGTCCCCGCCTCCTTCAATTTTTCTTTAATGTACAGTGGCCTGAGCTTTAAAACATATCTTGATGAGGCTTGAGGCAGAAATAGAACACTGAGGAGTTAGCTACCTGAGGGTGACAAGACCCCGATCTCCTCTCGTCTAAGTGGGGGACCATGGTGTGGTAGACTGTACTTCGGAAAGAGACCCACACTACTCTACCTCCCAACCCAGGAGTTTCAGGCTCTGAGGACACAAGGAGAGGCCATGAGAACCCTCTTTGCTAGACAGGTAAGCAGGATCCCCAGATGACTCCTTTCTGCTGTCCCTGTCAGATTCCTGCCCTCTGGGGCTGTGAGCCCAGTGCCCTGCTGCCCAACACTGAGTCCTGAGGCTTGGTGCAGCTGGAACGGCGACCATGACGCTGGCTGTGTGCTGTGGGTGGAGCTCCTCTTGAAGCTCTCCAGGAACTGAAGATTCAAATTTCCTTGGTTGCTTGCAGCTGCTAGAGGGTGTCTCTCCTGAACATCACCACATATGAGACAGGTCCGACTGACCCGGGCTCAAAGGTGGGGGTGGTGGCTCCATGGAGAATTCTCTGTCTCTTTCAGAGAGCACTGTGTGGCGACATCGCTCAGCCTGGCACCTGGCACCTCCCGCAAACTTCAAAGTGCCTTTTATGAAGTTTGACGATCTTGTTCCTGCTTTAAAGTTGACTGCGAGAAAAACATCAGTGGCAGGACAGATGCCACGTACAGACAGGCACGCTCCTGTGGACACCACCTGAGTGAGTCTGAAGTCCTTTCATCTATGCAAAGCCAGTCTCAGAATAACCCTAAGTAAGCAGCACACACTGTGCGGTGGGCGACGTGTGTGGTGAAGGGTGACACTGAGGTCAGGAAGTCCCCGTGTCCCACAGTCGTCCTGAGTTATCCATGGAAACCTGGAGCCTGGCTCCTCCAAACCTCCCCACGGGCTGTCACCATGGGCTTAGTGGCCAGTGGAACCGGCAGAGCCCCAGGCAGCACAGAGCCCCAGACTTGGGCTTCCCCTTCCGGACTCCACGTCCCTCTTCTCCCCCAGCCTCATGGTGGCACAGAGCCACGGTGCACAGGGCAAGGAGCACCTACATGCAGTCAGGAGCCCCAGTTCTGGTCCTGCCACAGGCAAAGACGCCTCCCTCCTCTGTGACCTTGCCCTCTTCTCTGGGCTTCAGTTTCCCTCCTGGAGAATCAAGAATGGAAACTTCTAGTCAACACGGTCGACACTCATGAGCCAAACCAGCACTAAGCAAACACATAAATAAGCAGCAGGGAAGAAAAACTTTTACAGAACACTGCCTAAAACGTACGGAAGGAGCCAAGGAGTTAGAGTCTCCATGTTGCACTAATATTGCCACAGTACTGATTTAGGTAAGAATCTTCAAAGAATGCTAAACCCACGGGGAGAAAATTTATCAGGGCAGGACATTGGCAGAGTGTTACAGTATGGGCCACAAGACATGTATAATTGCAATTAAAAAAATAAAAAGCTAATTTTCACTGGAAAAACCTTGGAGACACCGCCGTAACTCAGTGATCCTGGCCAGCGCCCCAGTGGTAGGACAGGGTAACATCACGAGCTCTTTGATGTGCCACTTTTGTGGTGTCCGTGTCAAAATGCAGGACTTTGTGACAAGAAAACATCAGACAAGTCCAGATCCAGCGACACCCTGCAAAACAACTGAAGAGCGCTCTTCAGACGCATGAAGGGCATGAAGACAGGTTAAGCCTGAGGACTGTCACACATCTGAGGTGATAAAAGCCAACTAAATGCCATGTGGGATCCTGGGTGGGAGTTTGGAGCAGAGAAAGAATGTTAATGGGAAAATTGGGTATAAATTAAAGGATGTCTGTAGTTTTCCAAATAGTAACGGTATTAGTTTCCAGGCCTTGACAAATGTATGATAGTCACACAAACTGCTGACAGAGGAAGCCACGTGGAGCTGGAAAAGAAGGAGGCATGTGTGGGAGCGACTGCCCATTCTGACAGCTCTGATATGACGACCTGGTCCTCATCACCTCAGTCTCCCAAGATGGTTGCTGCAGTTCCAGGCTTCACATAAGCTTTCTCAACTCTGGTCATATTTGATTTAGACTCTGAGCCAACAGACTGAGAGTCTGCGCTGAGACCTGATTCTGTTTGGAAATCCAAGTCCCAAGCCCTAAAAAGTGAGACCTGATTCCCAGAGCTGTGCCTGGTGGAAAGGCTCTGGCCTACTGCCTGTCTGGTCTGAGTACTGTTGAGGTAATCTGGGATCAGCTACCGAGTGCAACTGTCAGCACCACACTGTCCAGAGGCTGAGAAGGGAGTAGAAAGGGACCTGCGGTCACACAGCAGGTAGACACAGTGCCCTGTCCCATGGACCACCTCCACCAGCACCTCAGTCCCCAAGGTCCCACAGGGAGGAGCGGGCTGTCTCTGGCTCCTGATCGCAGCCAGCCAGGACATCCCGGTGCTGTGGGATGATCCACTGCAGCCTGTGTCTCCCCCACCGCCTGCAGCACCGGGCTTTACAGGCCTGTTCACTTGTTACCTCCCTCTCAGAGAGGCAGCTAGGGTGGGGCAGAGATGAGCCTGTGGCCCCACATGCAGGAGAGGAGGCACAATCCTAGCCAAGCCCTCACAAACCAAGTGCCCTCAAACATAGTGTTTTCATTACTTTGGCCCTGTTTTCTCGTTAGTAAGATAGGACTGTTAGAGCACCGCCCTGGAAGATGCAAATAATACATGTGGAGCCTACTATGCCCAGAAACTGAGTTTGTTAGGTAACAAACATTTAATAAGTACCATGGCTTGGTGGATGCTGGTTCCTTACCCTTCAGATCCAGTATCCTCTTTTTCTGTGATAATTATAGTCTCAATATTTACCAAAGAGCCGGGCGTGGTGGCTCACACCTGTAATCCCAGCACTCAGGAGATTGAGGCAGGAAGATCATTGCGAGTTTGAGACTAGCCTGTGCTACACAGTGAGCTCAAGGCCAGCCTGAACTGCGTAGAGACTCTGTCTCAAAAAGACCAAAAAAAAAAAAAAAAAAAAAAAAATCTACCCAGGGAAATGCGGCAAGCCTGTTTTCCAGATTTCCTGGAAGCTGAGTGTAGCAACATAGCTAAATTCTGCCAATCAAGAGGTGAGGGACTTTTGGGTAGTGCGCTGTCAGGCCAGATTGCGTCTTCACTTGCTCCTTCCTGCCTTCCCCTGACCATCTCTGCTTATGGGCCTCAGTGGTTCACAGAGAAACTTCTAGCTGTCAAACCTTTTCACTTCAGGCGTCCGTTACACACACTCAAGCCTTAGCCTTCACTGATACCAGTACCTACTATGTGCCAGGCATCGTACGCTTGTTTGTCTCCATCAGAATCCCCAGAGCCCTGCACGAAAGAAGTATTGCAGGCTCACAGGTCAAGTTCAGGGTCACGGACTGATAAGTGGCCAGGGAAGACCGGCCCTTGACTGGGGCTCATCCCTGGAGGACACAAGCGGTCGGTTTGCTCACAGCACACCTTGTATCTCCGAGAGCCCCAGAATATTGATCTGGAGATAGTCAAGCTGAGTGGGCCTGCAGACACTTAGGGCCAGGTGATCTAAATAGTGGGCTCTACACGTTATCATAGCTTCCTGGGTGTTTGTAAGGCTTAACACACTGTGGGTAGTAAAGCAAATGTCAGAGCCTCTTTGGGGCAAGTCCCAGGGGCCATCAGGGAAACCCCAAAGGGAGACAAGGACCTGTGAGACAAGGGGAGAGGGGACAAAGTTGGAGGGGCAGGGCCTTACTCTTTCACCTCCACCCATCCCGGCCTGTTGCGGAGGACGTCCGTGAGGGTGTTCATAAGCGTGGTCTTGAACCGAATCGATGCTCTCTGCTCTCTGCAAGACAAGGCAACAAAACACTTGCTCAGGATCAGTGATTTTCCTAGGACGGCACAGGGATAGGAAAAAAGGGAAGGAAGAAAGGTCAAGTTCCCACTTGGAAATGCCAGAGACAGAATTTCTGACTTTCAGAATTTAGCATCATGGGATGACAACAATTCAAGTCATCAAGTTGTGAATTTAAAGAACCTGTGAAACACGGAGAAGCAGCAAGCATTTCATCCAGTGTGCATTACATGTTGTACACGTTCTATGACTGATTCTTACACGAAATGGCATTTGCAAACCCCCGTTTCTGGCATGCATCTAAGAAGATGGGGCACGTGTCCTTTCCCCCATTCTTCCGACTGATACGACCCCGAGCCTAGATATAGATAGAAATCAAGGCAGAGAAGAAGCAGACTGGTGAGAAATCGGGGCCAAAGGAGCAACACAGTGGTGAATTCCTGGGTTTCTTTCTGCCCCTGTATCCCAGATGTGGAGGTGAAATGCCAAGCAGTAATCACCCAGCAATGTCAATGGGCACAGGCTGAGAAGCGTCAATGAAATCCAGGTCTCTCTACCTAGAGGACCAGGAAAAGAGCAACCCAGCTGGAGAGAAGACATAGACACTACTCCACTCCAGCCAACCTCACAGAAGCATCTGTGCCCACCTCCGCTTAGGACTGCAAAGGCAGAGAGGGCAGTCTGGACTTTCCTTGAGGTTAGGACAAGATACTCCAACGCCTCTGCTGGAGAGGTTCTGAGCGGCCGAGGACAAGGCTGGGCTTTCACCCCGTCAGGTGGGAAGGAGCCCCACTCCCTGTCATTGTACACCATGTCACTGGCCCCTGACTTCTCCCCCACTGGATGTCCCTGTTACTCTGGGGTGATGGCAGAGGAGAGCTTGTGGAGAGTCTGAAATCAATAAAATTGAAATGGGAAAATAATAAAGAGAATAAATAAAATAAAAGGCTGGTTCTTGGGGAAGAACAATAAAAGTGACGAAGAATACAGACGATATCAGACCACTAGTGAGGGCCTGCTGACCCCACCGCACACCCAAGACAATGAATGGCCAGATGATAAGGGCCTTGGAAAGCGTACACATTACACTCACCCAGTAGGAGACAGACCATCTGAATAGCTCCGTAACTATTAAGCAACTTGAATTAATAATTTAAGATTTCCCAAAACAGACATCTCCAGGGCCAGATGATTTCACTAGAGAATTCTCCCAAACATTTAAAGAATGCTTGCTTAGCATGTGTGAGGCCCCGGGGTTCAATCCTCAGCATAGAAAAAAAGGAGGAGGAGGAGGAGGAAGAGGAGGATACATCATAACCAAGTGGATTTTCTGCTGGAAAGGCTAGTTCAGTTTTAGAAAATCCATTTTATCTATAATGCTAACAGACTAAAGGAGAAAAACTCATATGATCATATCAACTGATGTAGCAAAGGCACTCCCAGAGGGCCCACCTCGAAGCATCACAGATTCAATTTCTTCTCTTTTATCCCATTAACATAATGGATGTTATGTAAAGTCCTGAATGAACTGGGAGGGACCACAATGGAGGCAGACTGTGACTCCCAGAGCCCTGTGTCTAGGTATTGCTGGGCTGCTACCCTAAGGAGTGTACAGTTTTCCCTTTCCAAACTACGTATCTTTGTGAGGTTGAATTTTCTTCCACCTTCAGAGAAAACAGCATATCTCAACAGATTGCATACAAAAAGTTTGGAAAGCCAAATGGTAAGCCAGAAATCACAGAGATTCACAAAAGTATAAAACAGATACTACTCATCTCAGTAAATCTGAGGAATTCAGTGACAGTTTATGGAAATATGCTACCATTTAATAAGTATATTACTGCTTTTTAGGTAAATTAATAAATGTTAAATAAGTATTTAAATTTTTATTAGAAATTCAACATTCTAATACAGTGAATATCGATAGATACAAGCCAGTAAGGGAATCAGATCCACAAAAAATGTTTAAAGGATCCAGGACTCACATCCTGAGAAACACTGTTCTAAAGTAGTCATTAAAAAATAAAATAGGAGGTTTAGCCAAAAATCAAAAGGGAGACCAAGTAGAATGCTAAAAAATACTCAGTCCAAAGCAAGAAAGACATACAATTTCAAAATCTATCAAAGTGGAGAAAACTTCAAATATCAAGTGTTCAGAGGAAAGTGGAGGAATGATAATTACCCCACAATGCTGATGGAAATGCAAATTGATAAACCTTGAGAGCAGTTAGTATATCAAAGCCATCAGCTACCATGTCACACACACTGGACTGGCAAAAACCTAAAAGTCCAAGTTTGTTTTGTTTGAGGCGGAGCCTTACCATGTGTTCCAGGCTGACCTGGAACTCGAGATCCTCTGCCTCGACCTCCTGAGTGCTAGATTACAGGAATGTACTGCTATGCCCAGTTTAAAAGTCTAAATTTTGACAACAGTGGGATAAGATGGAACCCTTCCTTTGCTGGCAGAATGTTCCTACTCTGAACTCGGTCACTGTACCCTAGGCTTACGATACCAACGCATAGAGCAGAAATACATGTACAGTGATGTTCACCTATAACTGCTACTATTTTCCACAGGAAGAACCTACAGCACACATTGTGGGAGGTCCACTCCTATCTCCTGCACACCCTCCATCATTGTGCCTGTCAATCAGAGGGTTTTCCCCTGCCAGAGGCCGAGGCTCTCTGCTGGGGGCTCTCTCTTCGCCCCAGAGCCTGCTCAGCCAGCACCTGGGCAGGGCATGGGTCTAAGGAGCTCACTGCACTCCCCAGCGGAGCATACCTGGGGGTGACTGCTGGGCAAACTGCTCCGGCTGCCTCATCACCCCTCTGGGACAGGTCTGCGGCACCGTCCAGCGCACTTCCAGGGAGCCCCGGCAGGACAGTGCCACTGCCCGTAGCAGCACCTGCCAGCAGTGGACCTTCTGCAGCAGCCCTTACTCCCCGCTTCCCAGCGCTCCCTGGAATCACCCCCCACCCCACCCCAGACCTGTCTCAGGGTTGGCTTCCGGGGAAACCAACACTAGGCTACAGCACAACTGCTCTCGACAGGAAGGTGGGTAAATATCTTGTGATGCACAGTATGCAGTCAGTGCTTCTGGAGCTGCCTGCGCCAGCATGGAAAAATACTGAAAATGTAATCGTGTGTGACAAAAGCGGAGTGCAGAAGAGTTCCAGGCCGTCCGTGCAATCAGGGGTGGCCATGTGATGCTACTATGATCAATAAGATAAAAACATGAGACTCCTAGCAAGGGTAGGTTTTGTTCTTTCAGTAGAGAGAAAAACAGAGATGTGACTTCAGTTTCCTTGCCCCTCCTCCTGTCTTGATCATGACATGAAAGCAGGAGCAGCAACAGCCACTGAGTATCCACGAGGAAAAGGTCACAACGATCACAAAGACATTGCCTCTGACATTATCTGCTCCCTCTGCAGCAGACTCTGGTCTCTGTGATGTGAGGAAAACAAATACCATTTGTTCAAACGACTGTTCATTGGGTGTTCTGTTACTTGTAGCTAAACACATTTCTAATTACTCTGTGCCCTAGGAAAACAGGCAGATGCAGGCGGTTGCCTGGAGTGCTGACGGTTTTGTTAGGGTGGGTGTTCAGATTTGGACCAAGATCTGGAACAGAGCTGAGCTCCCCTCTATGACAGGGAGCGATCTTAAACAAGTGGGGGAATAGAGTCTATACAGAGAGGGAACACAGAGACGGTGCCAGAGCCTGCACAGCCCCCCTCGGGGACGCACAGCCAGGAGAGAATGGAAATCGCTGAAACTGGAGATGGTGTGTGCCTCAGAAACCGCTCTAGCTCCCTGCAAAGATCATTAAGAAAGTTGAAGGTTCCCCCCTGCTTTGTGCAAGCAGATTTTTTTTTTTTTCAGTACTGGGCATGAACTCAGGATCTTTGCACTGAGCTGTACTCCAGGCTCTTTTAAATTTTAAAATTGTATTTATTTATTTATTTGTTTGTATATTATTGTTGTTATTATCTTGTACCTGGGATTGAACTCACGACCTTGCACTTGCCAGGCAGGTGCTGTGTCCCTGAGCTAAACCCCCAGCCTCAAAAGACTTCTGAATTTATTCATTTATTTTGTTTTGTTTTACCTTTGTGACAGGGTCTCACCAAGTTACCTAGAACAGGTTTGATTTTGTAATCTTCCTGCCTCAGCCTCCAGGGTGCTGGGATTATAAGTGTGTGCCAGCATACCTGGCCACAAGAGGATTCTTTAGGGGATCCAGAGATGTTCTGAGTCCTATATTCCGTGTATAAGAGATGCAGAGTGAAGCACAAGGTTAGGGCACAGCTGACATTGGCATCACAGATAATCATTGCCTTGCTGAAGGAGGCAGGACGCACGGTTAGACAGCTGTCCCTGGAGTCCAATAAGTGTGCCCCTGACTGACGGCAGCAGATCAAGAAAAAGTCACTTAACCCCTCTGAGCCTCACTTAGCCACTCTGAGTGCCTCCCTCTGTGAAACGGTAGCGGTGTGAGGACTGTGGTAAGGATTTGATGAATGTTTTCACACAGGGAAAGTGAGTAGCCCAGGGGGTGGCATGTGACAAGCGCTCAATAACTGCTTATCAGTGTTACTACTGGGCCTGGGACTCAGTGGTAGAGCACTTGCCTGGCATGTTTGAGGCTCTAGGTTCAAGTCCCAACACTGCAAAAATAAACTGCTACTATACTTATCATTGTGTTTACTGAAATAAAAATAAGAACAGAGATTAAGGGAAGGAAGGGAGTGAGCAGGGAAAGGGCAATGGATGGAAGATGGGAGGGAGAGGAGGGCAGGGAGGAAGGGAAGGAAATTAGTTCTGAGTTTACTGGATTGAGTGGGGCCACTCACCGCTCTTTTCCTTTTGATGACCCATGGCTCTTATAATTTTGATTCTGCAAAGAGAAAAGGGAAATGATGTAACTGCATATCTACTTGCCTTCCCAGCTCAATTTGCTGCAGATATTGAAGTGACCGAACCAGCATACTCAACAATGCCTAGGTCCTGGGACATGAAGGTCCAGCCGGGTCAGGTTCTCATCCGTCAAGTTCCTGGAAAATCAGTGCAGGATTTACCTGCTATCCTTGGAGTGAGTTCCCAAGTACCCAACAGCCCGTCTCTCTGTGGACCTGCCAATCTGTGAGCGTCTGTGTTCAGGGCTCCAAGGGTTAGCTCTGGCCAGATGTAGCGGTACATACCTGTAATCCAGCACTAGGAGGGCAGAGGGAGGGCTCAGAGTTTGAGGCCAGCCTGGGCTACATAACGAGACCCTGTCTCAGAAAGAAAAATGCCAACTTTTAACCCCAGTTTTGAGCACTTGGCTCATCAGGCTCTATGTGAAGGATCTGAACCTTCTATGGTAACTCCGAGGGACCAGGAAGTATAGCTCCATGATAGAACACTTGCCTAGCATGAGGTTATGGGTTCAATTCCCAGCGCTGTCAAACAAATCCTTTAATCTAACTTTGAATGTTTGATTAGACCCAGAATATAGGAGGGGGCTATGTGAGACTCAGAACAATGTTAATGCCTTTCATCCAGATGAATCTTCCAAATTCTCTACCAGGGAGGGTATTAAGTGGCTCCAACCATGTCCCAAACATCATGGCCCCCAGCTGTGGTAAGACTGACTCCTAGTCATGTCTAAAAAGAGAAGCTGAAATTGGTTTTCTGCAGGATGACATTTGCAGCATGGATAGACTTGCCACACACACTTATTTTCTGTTAGTTCAATAAATTACCTCAAATTTAGTGGCTTAAAATACTGCACAATCATTACTCTTAGTTCCCATGGGTCAAGAGTCTATGCGTAGTTTAGCTGGATGGGCTGCCCAGGTCTCACAAGGCTGCAATCAAGGGGACGGCTAAGGACCATTCTCAGTTTCTAGATGCTGCCTGCAATTCCTTGCAACAAAGCCCCCACACTGGTCACTCACGGCAGGGCTCCGGGCTACCCATAGCATGACTGGCTTCCAATCCCATTCCCTTCAAGCTAGCTATGAGGGGTCTTCATAACATAACATAACATAACATAACATAACATAACATGACATAATGATAGTAGTAACTGTATCATCAAACTCCCAGGCTCCACCCACACCCAAGTTTAGGAATTACACATGGCCTGTGTGCCAGAGGCAGTAAATCTAGAGGGACACCTTAGAACTCTGATTACCACACCATCCTGCCCTTCAAAAGCCTGTAGGGATGCAGGTTTTGCTTTACAAAACTGGAAGAAGTGAATCCCTCAAAAAAGAAGTGAAATCATATTCCATTCTGCCAGCCAGATCCTTCCAAGTCATCCAGAACTAGTCAAGCACTCCTTTAAAAAATCTTGTTTTAATGCTAGATGTTTAGGGGCTGGGGATTTAGCTCAGCAGCATAAGTGCCTGACTGGCAAGCTCAAGGTTGTGAGTTCGATCCCCGGCACCAAAAACAAAAACAAAAAACAAAAAATACTAGATGTTTAATCTCTCATGCTTTCAGTTGCATTTTTCATAGGCTTATCCAGTTGCTCCAAAGCCTTTAATTGTAAAGAAATTTTCCTTTCCTCACTGAATTACATTAGCACATGTCAACATTCAATCAAACATGTAATGTGGATGTATTGCTAGACACTTGTTTTATTTACTTTGTCTATCCTTATGTTGCTATCACATTATCTTAACTACTATAACTTTCTAGTAAATATTTAAATCAGGTTCTATAAGTTCTCCAACTTTGTATTTTTGATGTTGTCTTTGCAACTAGGTGTCCTTTGAATTTCAGTATAGATTTTGTTTATTTATTTTTGGTTCTGAGGATTGAACTCAGGGCTTTACGCACACTAAATTATACCACTGAGTTATGCCCCATTCCCATCAATATATATTTTAGAATCAGCCAATTTCTGCTAAAAGGCATGTTGAAGTTTTGATTGGGTTACATCACAAAGTATTGAGTCTTGAATCCACGAATGTAGTCTCTCTCTCCATCTCCTTTCACTTTTTCCCAATGTTTTATAAAAGATAGATATTTGATTTTGTGATGCCATTGTTTATAGTATTCTTAATTCACTTTAATTATCGGGTGACACTAACGTCTGATAAGCAAAATAATGCCAGCCCCAAAGATGCCCATGTTCTAATCCCTAGAATCGGTTGCATATCACATTATAAGACAAAGGAGAATAAGGCCACAGATGGAATTAAAGTTGCTGATCAACTTTCCTTAAAGAGATTACTCTGGTTCATCCAGTTGAACCCAATGTAATTACAATAGCTGTTAGAAATAAATGTGGACAAAGGAGGCAGAAGATCAGTGGTAGTGTCCAACTGATATAATCTGAGAATGCTTGACTTTGAAGATGAAAGGGGACCGTAAGCCAAGGGCCCCTAGAGACTGAAAAAGACAAGAAAACATATTTTCTAATAGAGTTTTCAGGAAAAAAGGGAGTCCTGCAAATACTTTACTTTAAGCGCAGGGAGACTCATTTCAAACTTCTGACAGCAGGAACTATCAGCTAAATTTGTACTTTTTTGAACCCACTAAATTTGTGGTAGTTTGTCACAGCAGCTACTGAAAATTAATATATATACACATATATATGATTATAATTGATCTTTGTATATTGACCTTGTGTCCCATGTCCTTGCTAAATTTTTAGTTTCAATAACCTATAGATTTCCTCGAGTTTTCTATGTATAGTGTTATGTCATTTGTGAAAACAGGCAGGTTTATTTCTTCATTTTCAATATCTATGCCCTTTATTTCTTGTTGCTTCTTAGCTGGACTCACCAAAACTTAGTACAGTGTTGACTAAAAGTAATGAGAATAAATATTATTTTGCTCCTTAAGGGAAAAGCCTTCCTTATTTCACCTTTTAAGAATGCTAGTGGCAGGGGCTGGGGATTTAGCTCAGCGGCATAAGCGCCTGCTTTGTAAGCAGACAGTCGTAGGTTTGATCCCCGGTACCGATAAAAGAGAAAAAGACAAAAAAAAAGAATGCTAGTGGCTGTAGGCTCTTGCCATCTACCAAACTGAGTAAATTTCTTACTATTCCCTAGGGGTTTTTGTTTTGTTTGGGTGCCAGGAATTGAACTCAGGATCTCGTGCTTGCCAGGCAGGTGCTGTGCTACTGAGCTATATATATCCCCAACCCCTATTCCCTAGTTTTCTGAGAATTTCATCTTCTACTTCCTTGCCCATCTAAATAGCTTTTTATGTAATTAGGCAATTATTATGTATCTCATTAAAATGTCTCTCATTATGTAATTATTACATAATGCAACCACGAAGGTCAAAATCATAGCTCTTCAGAGATGTTTAACTTCTGCCAACTTGATGTTAACATGTTGGTTCAGCATTTCCCAGATTAGCCTGAGGACTCAACCAAGGTTAAGAGTTTTCAGACATTTTTTTGACATTTAATGGTCGACATAAAGCATATTACAAAGTATACAAATGACAGATGAACGGGAAGAGATGCCCAGGACAAAGCCTGAGGGAGGAGTGCGGTGAGTGAGCATGCCCTCTGGGGCCCAGCCCTCCCTGCGCTTCCTGTGTTCAGCAAGCCAGCAGTCTTCAGAAGAGACCTTTTCCCACCTAGAGCCCAAGTTGACAATCACTAGCTGTCTCCCATTACAGAAGGGCAAATTTGCTCCAGTTAACACCTTTGCTAATGGTGGTACCTCTGTATTGTCCAGCTTTAGGGAGCGCTCTCATTTCCAGTTCCTTGCACAGTGGACCCTACACTAATTCTTCAACTGCTAAAGTGTCTTGATTAGGAAGTGAACAACCTCTTCCCCGAGGGAAATGAAGAATCAGCTAATTAGCTATGACACATCTGGTTTCTATTTTCCTTTTTTTTTTTTTTTTGGTCTTCGGGGATCTTTCTTCCAACCATCACCACCCTTAAGCACATTTCCATTTCCAAAGACATCTGTCATATTTTACTCTAAGGGTATGTTAGAGCCTTTTCAAGAAGCCTCATCTGCCATATTGCCTGTGATAAAAATCCTATTACCATCTCGATGAGAAAAGCACTCTGGGAGCATGAATACTCCCCCCAAAACCACTAATAGCACATCTAGAAAAGACAAGTTTATAAGACTTTTGGAAAATGGCTTTCTAAAGAAAAAGACTCAGAGATGGATTAGTTGCTCTTATGGACCACAAAGAGAGACCTGTAATTGTATTTCTCATTTTGCTCTAGACAAAGTGGAAGGAGGGTATTACTGCTACCAGCTGGTGGTGAGTCCTGAAGAACATTTGCTCAGGACACAGCCAGCTTCTTTTATGCCTGGCTCTAGGCCACAAGCCCTGCTGCAGGTACCCTGCTATTTCCCCGCCAAGTGAGGACATCCATGTGGGAACCAGTCTGCTACTCTAGCTTACCCTTGGCCTTTGGTCACCACACCAGAGACCAAGTTGTTGGTCAGCTGGTTCCTTCAGACCCAATTTCCTTCCAGCCTAATTTAATTCCTCATTTCCCCTTCTAGTCCTTGGAGAGTTCCCAGCATGCCTCAGAGCTGAGGCCTTAGGGAATGTAACCTTGAGGAGCTGAGATCAAAGTCTGAAACACATGGCCTTCTGATCTCTGGGCTTCCTTTCTCTGGGCATGTTTTTTGTTGTTGTTTTTTGTTTTTTTTGGTGCCGGAGATTGAACTCATGACCTAGAGTTTGCCAAGCAGGCACTACACCACTGAGCTAAACCCCTGGCCCTCTCTGGGCATATGTTTGTGAAGGTATACACAATATATCCTAGAATGTTCTCTTAATAAGTTCGTATCCTCCTCCCAAAGTTTAAATTGCCACTGTCTTGGGTTATTGGTACTGGGGATCAAACTCACAACCTTACACTTGCCAGGCAGGCACTTGTGCCACTGAGCTAAATCCCCAGCCTGTCCTGGGTTATTTGAAAGAAACGCTAAAGTCTTACATCAATACTCTGTATAGATAACCTTTGCCTCTCCCCAATAGTAACAGCAAAATACATGTCACAAAAAGGTCCACTATTTTTTTTTCTCTCATCCAATATGAGTACCCCACACCCTGATACTCACTGTATAGACCGTCAAGAGTGCAACCCCCCCAACAGCCTGCAGTTTGCTCCCTCTTCAAAGAAGTCAATTGGGTTGATATGCAAAGGGACAGATGCAGCAGATGTTTATTTTGTTTTTATAATAATATGTTTAAAAAGTGATGTGTATCTGTGTGTTTAAATACTATTTTAACTAAAAATCGGACACGATTAGCAGAATGGTAGAGGTGGTGAGAAAGAATGAATTCAAGGTAGATCAAGAGACTTAGACTTATTGGATGTGGGAGATGAAGGTGGAGGCATCAAGATTAAGTCCCGTTTTTTTGGCATAAGCAACTAGGTGAGTTCAGCAGCAGTCATTCAACCGCGATCAACTAACTCTATTATCAGTTCTGAGCTGGGCGCTAGAAACAGAGGAAAGAACAATACAGACTAGATCGCCTAGCAGAGAAGACAGACGTTAGACAAATATAATGAATCGTGGTAAAAAGACAAAGCTCTATGCACTCTGAAAGCAAGCAAATTCGTTTTTTTCCTTAAAGAAATGGAGGTGCCATCTTGAGAGTAGAAGCAGATGACAATAGGAAGCAAGAACACAAAATAAAAGTGGCGCTGGAGATGCTGTGTTCTAGAGTAATTCGTTTCCTTTTGTTGCGTCTCATTTTTCTTAATCTTAAAATGAGAAGCTGGCTTGTCTGCTTCAGGAGGGCAGGGGCTTGTCTGATTCCTCTGCACTCTTTGGTCAGCATTGGTTTTGGTTTGGAAAAGCACTAATTAGTGGTCTGGATGGATGAAGGGATGGATAGACTAAGGGATGGATGAATGGATGGACGGATGGATGTTTAGGCGGGCGGGTGGCGGGATGAACTCATTACTATGGGCTTCTCCAAGTCAGGATATCTGAAATTCTGTGCTTCCTTCGGGGTCACAGAAACCCCCAGGTACAGCCATGAAACTTGGCCGCCACGCAGGTTGGGTTTGCGGAGCACGCGCAGCAGCTCGGGAGGTGCGCGGCACAGCCGGACTTGTAATCTTTCCTCGAGTTCAGCGTTTCTTTGCCCTTTAGCCGGAATCCCGCCGCGTAGATTCTCACCGCAGGTTCTGAATCCTTTGCGGCTTCCCTCCCTCAATCTAAGGACGACGGAAGCATCTGGGTCTGTTCCATTCCTACCTTCGGTCGCGACATGGCTCAGTTCTCCAGGGCCAGATCCAAACTGCAGCCGAGTAACTGGAGAGCCTGAGTGTCGCGTTGCCCAGGCGACGCAGGGGCGCCCAGATCGCTGCTGGGATTGGGCAAGCCAAGGGCACGCCTCTCGGCGGAGTACGCAGGCTCCGCCCACCAGAGGCCCTGGAGGCTCCTGGGAGCCCGGGACCTGGGGCTTCCTGGACACCTTTTTGAACTGAGATTGGCTGTTGCTCAGCGCCGCCTTCAGCTGTAGTTCCTTGATGTGAGAGCACTCATCTGAAAAGTGGTTTCTCTTTGGTAAATATAGTGGTACCAAGTTTCCTTACTCAAGGAAGGTTCCACACTAAGTCATTCGGTCATTTAGTAACATGGCTGGTCATCTCTGCGCTCTCTCAATCTTTTTTTAGTTTTTATTTACCAACTATCCCAAAACTATTCAGCACCTGCAGTGGTCTCCTGATTAATCTACTAGTGCCCATCGGCCAATCCATCCCAAGTCATTCTCTGCCCTATCGCTAAAGGACATTTTTTTAAACACAAACCTGATCGTCTCTCCCCTGCACATGTAAACTTCCGCGTCACCTTTGAGATAAAGATAGGATGGAAGTCTCGCTGAGAATTTGCCAACCCTACCATTTGCCCCCTACTCTTCCTATTCCAGTCTTCAGCCTTCTTTCAGTTACTGGTTTGATTTGGTTTTGTTTACTGATGGATTATTTTACCTTCTCTGCACGATCTCCACTTGCATTGTATCTCAAGAAAAGCTTTTCTGATCATCCATTCCTCTCCGCTAGGTAGATCGCTCCCCAGAAGCACTAAGAAGAGACTCTATTAATTTGCCACTGTGTTCTCAGAGCTTAGCATAGTGCCTGACACTTGGCAGATAGCCAATACCATCTAGTGAATGAATAAATAAATAAACAAGTCAGGTTAATTAAATGGATAGTTACAGACTATGAGCAAAAAGAGACAAAGCCCAAGATGTATACCCAAAAGGATTGAAACAGGTACTGAAAAAAAGATTATACAAACATGTTCATAGCCAGAGTGAAAACAACCCAGTGTCCATGGAGAGATAAATAATTTGCACATATACATAGCAATATACACATAGATTCTACCATGAACAACAATAAAGTCCTAATGCTGACACATATACAAACCTCAAAAATATTATGGAAGCTTAGGATAATGGTACCTGTCTATAAACCCAGATACTTGGAAGGCTGAGGCAGGATATTGCAAGTTTGAGGCCGAGCAGTTAATGAGATCCTGGCTTAAAATAAATAATAAAAAGAGCTAGGGATGTAACTCAGTGGTAGAGCACCCCCGGGTTCAACACATGTATGTGTGCTAAGTAAAAAAGACACACAAAGAGTTCCAAATTGTGTGTGTGTGCATATGTGTGTGTGTGTATATACACACACACACATATATATTTCAAAATATTGGTATCCAAATAACTACAAATCATTTAGAAAAAGATACTTCCACCCAGATCCTCATAAAAGAAAAATGAATAAAGAATAACAGTAAGGAATTTTTTTTAACAGAAGAAATTCAAATTGCTAGTAAGCCAACCTAGAAATGGAAATTAAAACAATTATAAGCTATGATTTGAAATATATCAAATGTGAAAAAATAAAAACACATCAGTGCCTCAGTAAGGCCAAGTGTTAGTGAGGCATGGGGAAATGGGGACATTTACATCATACCACTGATACACTGATGCTTTGGAAGACAACCTGGCAACAGCTCCTAAAGCTGAGAATGCACACACTTTATAGCCTAGCGATTCACTGCTAGATCCTCTAGGCCCACTGAATACGGCTGCACAGCCCCACAGAGTGCCTGTCATCCGTAGCTAATATGCACAGTGACATCTTCCTAAAGAAACTTTGCAACTGTTCGTGAGACACATGCAAGGATGTTCTTTACAACATTCTTTATGAGAGTGTGAAATGTTTAAAACAATCTAAATATCCATGAGAGGGATGATAAATGAATAAAACGTGATATATCCTAAAAATAAAACATCATACAGTGATAAAATGATCCAGATCTTTGTTAACATGGAAATAGTCCCCCAAATGAATGAATTTTAAAAAGTTGTAGACTGATAAACTTTTAAGTTTATAATTTATGTTCATTATAAATATATATGAAAGTATGTTTTATATTCTTGCAGATATACAGCTTTAAAATATTTTAAAACATGATTTGAAAGATACAAATCAAGCCTAGGAAGACAGTTGCCTGTGGGGAGAGAATGAAGGGAGTGGGGAGAGGACCAGGGACTTCAACCACCTCAAGTCTATTTGGAATGTTTTATTTTATTTAAACAACACAGTTGAAGCAAATAGTGTGAGATATCCTCATCTGGATTTAAGACTTTGTTCTCCAAATGAAAATCACACAAGTCATTGCAATAATACGATAGAGAAAGAACAGGATGTTTTGGGAATGCCTAACAGTGGAGTCTAAACAAGTCCACCTGGGGTGAGTAAAGACTTCCAGGAGAAAATAAGAGTCAGCCCAGGAAAGGGGTTGGGAGGAGCATCACAGGCCGACGGGATGGGGTGCACAGAGTCAGAGAGAGTGCAGAGGGAGCGTGAGGCAGGGAATGCAGATCAGTGACCGGAACAGGGGCGAAGTGGAGCGATGAAGCTGGCGAACTTGTAGGTTTTTATTTGTTTCTTTTTTTACAGATGTGGAAACAGAGTGCTACTCAGAAAAATAGAACTTTGCTTCCTAACTCCCTGTCAGTTGTCCCATGACAGTAGTGACAATGACACTAACAACAGTGATGTACAATGGGCCAGTCTCTATCCTAGGCACTTTAACTACATCTGCCCATTTAATCACACTTAGGGATCCACAGGTTCTTCCCCTCCCCCCACTCCTCGAGTGACAGCTGATGGAGCTGAGCCCACAGAAGTTAAGCAACTACCAGACGAAATGCATTCAAAAAGTATTTGCTGAATAATTTGGTGCTTATGAGGACCCTGGGAGACAAGAGACAGGCGGCTCCAGAGATAGGAAGAGATGTAAAGAAGTTTTACTTCTCTCCAAGGACTGCATTTCACCAGACTCTGCTGTTTTGTGCCAACAGTCCCCCCAAAGTCATCTACTATTTTAGATGGAAGGGTGAAGGTGACAACTGGAGAAACAAAGCTGTTCAGCCCCAGAGCAGGTGTCTGGTCTCAATATCTTCCATGCTTGATCCTAGTAGCCAGGACGGAAGGACTTTCTTCAACTTCCTGAAAAATACAGATAGGGTCATATGTGACCCCAAAGGGACTGTCCCGCGGTCCCTCAGCGAATCAGAAATGAACAGGCTCTTGAACCCTGCTCTACCAGTACTCTTGCCTCTAACTCCCTTGTTGCAGTTTCCTAACCCACTCTACACCTCCCTTTCCCCACATTTACCTCTGATTTCTTGGGGGCCCTAACAGCAGTTATATCTGGACTCAGAAGAGCCTTTCCAGATGGCACCTTCCTCATAAGGACCAGACTGGATAAAGTGATGAGAGGATGGATGGGTGGCTGGAAGGATGGGAAGATGGACAGATGGAGGAAAGGAGGAAGGGAGAGAGGGTGGAAGGGATGCATAAATGAATGAATGGATGAGTGAGTAGATGGAGGTGGGTGGGTGCATGGAAGGAGAGACAGACCAAAGGATGGATGGATGGATGGCTGGGTGGATGGATGGATGGGTGAATGGATGGCTGGCTGGCTGGATGGATGGGTGGACAGATGGATGGTGGATGGATGGCTGGGTGGATGGATGGCTGGGTGGATGGATGGATGGTGGATGGATGGATGGGTGGATGGATGGATGGTGGATGGATGGCTGGGTGGATGGATGGCTGGGTGGATGGATGGCTGGGTGGACAGATGGATGGTGGACGGATGGCTGGGTGGACGGATGGCTGGGTGGATGGATGGATGGTGGATGGATGGATGGGTGGATGGATGGCTGGCTGGCTGGCTGGATGGGTGGACAGATGGATGGTGGACGGATGGCTGGGTGGATGGATGGCTGGGTGGATGGATGGCTGGGTGGATGGATGGATGGTGGATGGATGGCTGGGTGGATGGATGGCTGGGTGGATGGATGGATGGTGGATGGATGGATGGATGATGGATGGATGGATGGATGGATGATGGATGGATGGATGGCTGGGTGGACGGATGGCTGGGTGGATGGATGGCTGGGTGGATGGATGGATGGTGGATGGATGGTGGATGGATGGATGGTGGATGGATGGCTGGGTGGATGGATGGATGGGTGGATGGATAGATGGTGGACGGATGGCTGGGTGGATGGATGGATGGGTGGATGGATGGCTGGGTAGATGGATGGATGGTGGATGGATGGATGGGTGGATGGATGGATGGTGGATGGATGGATGGATGGGTAGATGGATGGCTGGGTGGATGGATGGGTGGATGGATGCATGGGTGGATGGATGGATGGTGGATGGATGGATGGGTGGATGGATGGATGGTGGATGGATGGATGGATGATGGATGGATGGATGGATGATGGATGGATGGATGGCTGGGTGGACGGATGGCTGGGTGGATGGATGGCTGGGTGGATGGATGGATGGTGGATGGTTGGTGGATGGATGGATGGTGGATGGATGGCTGGGTGGATGGATGGATGGATGGGTGGATGGATGGATGGTGGACGGATGGCTGGGTGGATGGATGGATGGGTGGATGGATGGCTGGTGGATGGATGGATGGTGGATGGATGGATGGGTGGATGGATGGTGGATGGATGGATGGGTGGATGGATGGATGGTGGATGGATGGAGGATGGGTAGATGGATGGCTGGGTGGATGGATGGGTGGATGGATGCATGGGTGGATGGATGGATGGTGGATGGATGGATGGGTGGATGGATGGATGGTGGATGGATGGATGGATGGGTAGATGGATGGCTGGGTGGATGGACGGATGGGTGGATGGGTATAGAGAAGTGTAAACGCGTGAATAGGAGGGTGAAACCACGGTTAGTTAGCAAAGGCTGGCTGGTAAGATGGCTGCATGGTTAGGGGGGATGTAAAGAAGCAAGTTACCCACTTTTCTTGTCGTAAACAGGACGTGAAGAACAGAGTGGCCTTAGCGATTGAAGTCCAGCCTCCATCACGTTTCACTAGAAAACCGAGGCAGGATAAGCTGGTGCTTCACCCCAGGGCAGCAAGCAAGTCCAGGCAGAGGCGGAACTGGGGTCCAGCGTCTGGCCCCAGGGATGGGGGACAGGACGCCCCATCGCCGTGCCTGCCGGTGCCAGGGCGGGGGCAGCGCCCCGCCCCCAGCCCGGAGGTGGCCCCCACGCGGCCGCAACAAGCTGCCGTTGTCTGCGGGCCGTGGGCCCGGCACACTGGGGCTTTGTCCGGCTCCCCGCCAGGACCCAGGGCGGGGCACATGACCCAGGGGTAGGAGGAGCCTGCGGCGGTGGAGGCGGCGGCGGAGGCGGCCCCATCAGTTCCCTCTCGAGCCGGGGGTCGGCAGGCGGTTGCGGCTGGACTGGGCTGGCCTGAGCCGCGGACGCCGGGCCCCCGGTTCCCCGCCAGGTTGCAGGCGCCTGGCCTGGGTCAGCAGGACAGCTGCGACCCGAGGTTCCTCCAGGCGGCGAGGAGGATTTGCGCCAGTCTCCCCGGGCCCGGGATCATGGGGAATGGCATGACCAAGGTAAGGAGGCAGGACGCGGGGTCCACCGAGCCTCTGACCTCCTGGGCCCACTGCGAGCCCGGGTCCACCTGTCTGTCCTCTGAGCCTCTCAGGACGCTCCTGCCGGTTGTCTCAGTCTCCGCCTGCTGTCCTCTCTGACTCTCTGCCCCTTGCTGTCTTTCTCCCGGGCTCACTCACTCTGGGCCGTCCCTGTCTGTCTTGCATGTCTGTCCCCTGTCTCTGACCTCTCGGACTGGCGCTGTTTGGCCATTCTCGGCTGCACCTGCTAGCTTCAGTCTGCTCTCTCCTGACCCTCTTCTCCCCTGGGACTTTCTCTCCTGCCTTGGGGTGCCTTTGCACCCCCCTCCCTCTCACCTGCCCGCAGACTGGCCTCTCCCTGTGACTAACTAGCTTTCTGCTCTCTCAGTCTGCCCTAGCCCTAGACCCCCTTACAGAGGGCTCAGGGCTGTGAAAGGGAGTGAGTTGCTCGCCTAGGTCCTTCCATGGGACAGAGGACTGGAGTTTCCCAGTGCCAGGGGTGGGAAAAGGTGCAGTCTAACCGCTGACCCTTGCCTGTCCTTCTTCTAGGTACTTCCTGGACTCTACCTCGGAAACTTCATTGGTGAGCACAGCCCACTCTGTCCCAAGCCTATGGCACTCTGCCTGTCCCAGGCCTGTGTCCACCATTCCTGCTCTGGCCCACGCATCATTGATGCTCTCAGGAATGGGGCTGGGACAGCAGAGCCATGCCACTCTGGGAGGGGAAAGGGCTGCTAGAGGGTGGGGGGCAGAGTTTCATGGGCAGAGTGTCTTCAGACCTGAAGAGTCAAGGAGGGAGCATCCGGGGTCTAACACAGATATCCTTCCCCACTGGACCTTCCATGTCCCTTACAGGATAACACCAAGGGCTCACAATGCTGCCTCAGGCCTGGGCGAATCAGTGCTGAGCTCAGCCACCTGCTCCACACAAGGCCTTCAGGCCCTTCTGGCCCCAAGGCTCAGCTCTGCTCTCCCCTGTCTTCCATTCAGGAGGGCTCTGGAGATGCCATGCCTATGGCAAGCAGAGTCCCCCTCGCCCAGCAGAGCCCCTGAGAGCAGCAGCTGGGAGTCCTGGCTGGGGTGGGTTCTGAACGTACAGGCTCCTGCTTTCCCTTCCACATCTGTCCTTTCCACAACAGGCCTTTGATGAGGGGAGAGGGCACAGGTGTGGAACTAGCCTGTCCCTGCCCTCAAGGGCCTGAAGGCAGCAGTGGAAGGCAGGTCTGAACACAGACCTTTGCCCATTGGGTAGAAGACATGCTGAGACAGGTAGTCCAGGGCTCGGAGCACCCGAGGTGGAAAAGTCACTTTGGTCTGTGGTGTCTGAGAAGGTTCCAGAGGGCTCAGATGGTCCACCCTCCTCACCCTGGCCCCTTCCTTCCTGTGAGCCACCTCAGGAGCTCCAGCCACTTTAAGTATCTGGATAACTTAGGTTCAGATTCTCTTTAAGTATGTAGGACTCATGAGGACAGGAACCATGGAGTTGTCCCCAGACTGCGAGTGCCCAGCCAAAGGCTGCACATAGGAAGTCCACAGGAAATGTTTGTTGAATAAGGAAGTGGACATCAGAAGACCGTGTGTTATTTTTCTGGTTAGAAAAGATCCTTGTAAGGGGCTGGGAATTTATCTCAGTGGCATAAGTCCCTGCCTTGCAAGTGTGTGGTCGTGAGTTCGATCTCCGGTACCGATAAAAAAGAAAAAGACAAAAAAAAAAAAAAAAAAAAAAAAAAGAAAGAAAGAAAGAAAAGATCCTTGCACAGTGGACTTTCAGCTCCAAGAGATGGCCACTGATAGCATTGTATGGTACATTCCTGAATCCTTCTTTGTACATCTTAGATACAGATATGACACTGAAAACAGAGTGGAAGCCTACCTGAAACTATTGTGAACATCTTTTCAGCACACTGAGTTCGTTTTAAGGACAGCACAGTGTCCCAAAGTACTTGTACACTATTAGTTACCCAATTCCCCTTTGTTAGAGGTGAGGTTGTGCTAGTTTTTGGCTATTTGTGATATAAACAGTGCTGCACAGAACACTTGCTTCCATACAAAATTCTGTGCCCTTTCTTCAATCCCCAAATTCCTAGAAGTAGAATGACTGGGCCAAAGGATGTGTTGGGAAGGGTGCTTGGCACGGAAAGAACAGCATGAGCAAGACCAGGAGATGCTGGGCTGCATCTTGTGGCTACCCCAGGGGTGAGGAGGAGAGCTGGACATTGGGCTGTCACTGAGCTTCCCTCTAGGAATGACTGAGTCACACCTGCCAGCTTGGCTCAAGCATCCTGCTTCTTTCAGATGCCAAAGACCCTGATCAGCTGGAACGGAATAAGATCACTCACATCATCGCTATTCATGAGTCACCCCAGACTGTGATGGAGGTACACAGAACCCCATGCCAGGGCTGTACATAGCTGGGCAGGGTGGGCTGTAGATTAGCAGCACTCCCTGATCAAGTGTGTACTGTGGGCTGGAATTTGTGTTGCCTGCTTGCCCATTCCTTCACCTCTGTACTGTTTTATATGATCCTCCCTATGGAGCAGCTGAGGCCCAGAGAGGTAAATTAACTCTCCTCAGGCCACACATCCAAGAGCTGGTCATCTGGGATGTGAATGAAGGCTGTTGGCTCCAGAGGTCTCACACTGATCCTTAACAATCCCCCCACCATGAAGATTAGGGATGTAGCTCAGTGGGAGAGTGCTTGAGTAGATAAGCAAAGGCCTGGGCTCTATCACCAGCACAGTGTGTGTGTGTGTGTGTGTGTGTGTGTGTGTGTGTGTGTGTCCCACATGGCTTTCCCATTGCCCAATTGGATGGATGATTCCAAACATGATTCTGGGCTCTGTGTCTTGGTGTGCAAGAGTTATGACTTCACCTCTCTTGGGCCTTTGATCCTTCAGCTCTGACTGCCCCCAGGGGCTGCTATGAGGCCAAAAAGGAATTGCAAGATGGCGAAGATGCTTTGCACACTGGGCATGGTCCCTACTGGAGGGGTGATGCTGGTGTCATTGAATCCTAGAAGAAGAGGAAAGTGGAAAATCTAGGTCACAGTGCTAGAATCAGGAGACCTGAATTCACATCTTCACCACTTACTCTCTTTGTGACCTTGGGTACAGAACTTCTCCCTCTAAGCCTCAGTTACCTGATCTTTTAAATGGGAATTTCATGATAGTGCCTACCTCACTGAGCCTATCTCACGAGATGCTTGACAAATTACAACCAAAATAGCAAGTTAAATATTCCTGCTCCATAAACAAGATCCCCTTCCTCCTTATCTGCTAGAGGCTGTGTTGTCCACTGAAGGAAAGGAACTGTGAGTGGGATAAGGCTCTGCAGAGACAGAAACCAGGTTCTGCCATGTTCTTACTGTGTGACCTTGGGCAGGGGCCTTCCCTTCTCTGGACCTCAGTGTTTTCACATGTCAGATTCGATAGTCTCTAAGGGCAGCCTCCAGTAATCTATGACTTTCAGTGTCCAAGAGGACATTTTCCAGCCAATGGAGTCTGAGTTTGCTTTATAGGGCAGCCTCATTTTGGAGTATTTAGAGTATGCGGTCCAAATAGATTGCATTGGGAGAGTTGTCGAGTTATTAATATATTCATTAATGAAATGACTGCTTATGGCCTGAGTCCCTACACCAACAGCCCCCCTTCTCACTAGCATTTCTCCCTCCTATCCGTAAGTGAATTTAGCAGTCAGGGTTGATAATGCCGTGCAAAGCCAAGGCCAAGTGTGTTGCAAAGTGAAACTGCAAACCTTGCAAAAGACGCGGGATCTCATGACCTTCAGGAATAGGCGTTAGAGAAGGACCAGAACCTCATGCAAAGCTCTGGACAAATGAGGGCCTGGCTGGTGGCCCCTCTGCCGTGCCTAGTGGTAGAACAGGCCCCTCAAAAGGTTATTTAAAATACCAAAGCATCAAGGGACGTCCTTGAGGAAAAGCCGTGAGGTCCTTGGAGCGTGAGCAAAACTAATCTTTTACAATATTGGGTGACACATAGGAGCAAAGGACAGCATAGCAAGAATGTTGAAAAAACTACACACGTTTTATTCCCTGGCTATTCTAACAAACAGCACTGCTTTTCCTAGCCATAACTCGTGAAGAGCAAATTGGATTTTATAATATTTACTTCTTTTCAAGGTAATCAAATCACTTCGTGTTTTTTACCGTGTAATTCTGTCATTCTCATTTGGACAGGAGTTGCTTTCTTGTGAAGTCACCGATGGGGTTAGGGCATCATCCATGCAGAGGTTTTGGCAGCAAGCAGAGCTGGGGGCCCACAGAGATGGTGCCAACTTTCTTTGAACTGAAAGACCACAGTGGCCCAGAGAGGGACAGGAACTGGGCTGGGTCGCACAGCATTTGGGCAGCTCAGGCTGGGACTGGAGGGTGTGTGGGCAAAGCGCCCCGGCCTGAATATGTCTTGCACTTGCAGGATATCACCTACCTTCGCATCGCAGTGGCCGATACCCCTGAGGTACTCATGTAAGTTCCCCAAGATGGACCGATGGAGGAACAGATAGCTGCCCTGGTGGAGGGAAAGGGGAGGAGGCTCTGAGGGAGGACAGGGACCCCTTGGGCCAAAGCTGTCCCCGGGCACCCAGACACAGGTCTGGTTCTGTCTCAACCATGCCCCAGTGTTATGTCCCTGGCCAAAACTCAGCCTCAGAGCTTCAGTCTCAGCTACGGAGTGACCTCTGAGATAAGATGCCCCACAGACACGAAAGGGTTAGCTCAGCCTGTTCTTGGCCTGGAGTGAAGACAGCTGGCTCCCGCCCAGGCTTTGCCTTTCATTGCTGTGTGACCTTGGACAAATCACTTCCCACTTCTGAGCTTCATCTGTAAAACAGGGGTGTGATCAGAGTCAAGGGAGCTTGTAAAGATCAGATGACACAGGCTGAGGATCTAGAACCAAGCCCCCCCCCCCAAACAGAAGATTTCATTTGCATCCCAGCATCAGTGCCTCCAGGTTGGGATGGGTCGAAACCTAACTCCTGCCCTTTGGGGACACTGCTCCCAGTCCATCACTGGTCATCATTATTGCCAGATACTCCAAGTACAGATCCCAGAGGAGTGGGCCTCTGTGTCTCCTCCTACCTATTTCCTTCAAAGGTAATCCTAAGGCTGGGGACTCAGCTCAGTGGCTCAAGTGCTTGTCTGGTAAGTGCGAGGACATGAGTTTCCAATCCCGGTATACAAAAAAAAAAAAAGAAAGAAAGAAAGAAAAACAAAAGATAATCCCATTACTCAGGACCTGAGGCAGGAGACTCATGAGTGTCTTAGTTACTTTCTGATTGTGGAAACACAATACCTGACACCCACAATATAAAGGAAGAGAGGTTAATTTGGCTCACAGTTTATAAAGGTTTCAGTCCATAGTCTCAGGTAGCTCGAAGGCAGGCAGTATGGGAGAGGGACATGGCAGAGGAGAAACAGCTCATGGCATAGTGTCAGGAGAAAGAGAGAGGTCAAGATGGAATCTTTCTCCTTCCAGGCTGTGCCACCCCCATGACCACCTCATTCAATGAGGCTTCACCTCATTTAGTAAACTCATCAGCAGACTAAGCCACAGACGGTATCACATCCCAGTGGCCAGTCACCTTCCAAAGCCCCACCTAATGAGCACACAGGCTTGGGGGTACATCTAGATGTAAACTATAATGAATCTGAGTCTAGCCTCAGCTATATAGATAGTTCAGTCTGGACTAAACAGTGAAACCCTATCTACCCCCTCAAAAAGATCCTCAGGACCCAATGGGAAGCTGCTCTGCCCAGATGGTAAGGTTTGCCTCTCTCCACACCTGAAATGCCACCGCTGCTACCTCCCACCCACACTGCCTTGTGCGGTGACCCTGACCCTATTCACTGCACACGCTGGCTGGCCTGAGGACCCAGAGATTTCTTTTTCAATACAAGGGATTGGACCCAGGGCCAGGGACGTGCTAGGCAAAAATGCTCTATGGCTAAACCACATCCTCAACACTTTTTTAAAAAATTTCAGGGCAAGGGATTTAGCTCAGCGGCATAAGCACCTACCTTGCAAGCAGACAGTCATGAGTTAGATCCCCGGTACCGATTGATAAAAAGGAAAAAGAAAAAAAAATTCACCTTGAGACAGGGTCTCTCTAAATTGCCCGGGCCAGCCTCAAGCTTGAAATCCTGGCTCAGTCTGCTGAAGTAGCTGGGATTTTAGGCGTCACCATACCCAGCACCCCCGGGCTCTTTGTTCCTTGCTAGCCTGCAAAGGGGGAAGGGATACCTCCTAAAATCCCTGCCCCACAGTGCTCCTTACCCTGTTGCTTTCTTTTCTAGCAAAAAGTACTTCAGAGAATGCGTCAACTTCATTCATTCCTGCCGCCTCAGCGGAGGGAACTGCCTTGTGCACTGGTGAGTGACGGTTATGGGGCAAATGATAAGGGCTGACCCACCATGGTGGAGACAGCGCACCAGTCATCCTGCATGGCCAGTCAGAAGCTCATGTCCTGTTCCTCACCAGCTGGGGGACCACGGTCCAGCAGCTATTTCTCCCCAAGACTCAGTTTCCTCGTCTGTAAAATGGGAGGTGAATTTAAACAGATTATGGGCTCCCAGCTCTTCCCTCCAGGCCTTCGAGGTGAGGGTGCAGGGGAGTGGGGGACTCGAGCTTGGAGTTGGGACCTGAGTCTTCTCAGATTCCCTGGCCTAGATAATGTCATTCATCCCTAAACTTCTACTAACCAGCCAGCTGTCGTATGTCAGGCTCCTGCGGGCTCTGCCAGAGCCTGTGCTGTGGACCAGCGCGCTCCATTCTGGTCTCTCCCACACTCCTCCTCCTCATGCCCAGACACACTAACCTCCTCCCCATTCTAACAGGCTTCTCCCTCACGATGGTCCATCTTTAGCTGAGCTAAATCCCCGGTCCTGTTGTCACTTACTTGACAACCTTTTCCCTAACTCTCTTCTCCGTTAATGCCTCCTCCCATGTGGACCTCCTGGTCCCCAGATTCATCTTCAAAGCAGTTATCCATTCCTGAAACTCTCTGGTCACTGTCTGTCTCTCACAACCAAACCTCAAATTCTAGGACAGAAGAGACCATGTCTGTTTCATTCCCCACTACCTTCAGTGCCTGAAAAAGAAAAGTTGTTTGTTGAATGAATGACTGTTGTTTCACCCAGCCCTTTGCTGTGGGAGACAAAATACCAGGCAGAGAGAACCTCACAAGCTGCTAGGACAGGTCCCCTGTGGAGGTCCTTGTGGTTGGAGCTCAGAGGCAAGGGTGGGGGAGCTGGAGTGCGGGTGGGGAGGCTGGACCTTATCTGAAGCCTGGGGGTGGGATCCCAGCTTTGCAGGCATCTCCCGCAGCACCACCATTGTCATAGCCTATGTGATGACAGTGACGGGGCTAGGCTGGCGAGAAGTGCTTGAAGCCATCAAGGCCACCCGGCCCATCGCCAACCCCAACCCAGGCTTTAGGCAGCAACTTGAAGAGTTTGGCTCCGGGAGCTCCCATAAGGTAGGGGTGGAACGGGCTGGAAGGGGTCGAGTTAGGGGAGGCAGGACCCGAAGGGGTCAGGATGGGGAAGGGAGTGGGGAGACAACTTTCCTCCTATCTGAAAGGAGGGCTGCAGCAGGTGGCAGGCTGGCCCAAGGAGCCGGGGGGCCGGCCTGGGCGCGTCACGGGGCGCGCGGGGCTCGGGGAGCGGCAGGGTCTCGCGTGACCCTCGGCCGCTGGTTCCATCCTTGCAGCTCCGCCAGCAGCTGGAAGAGCGCTACGGCAAGAGCCGGTTCCGCGACGAGGAGGACGTGCGCGCAATGCTGCCGCTGTGCAAACGCTGCCGCCAGAGCTCGGCGGCCCCGGGCGGCTCGGCCGCCGCGACGACGCACTCGGCCGCCTCGGAGGGGACCCTGCAGCGCCTGGGGCCGCGCTCGCCGCGGGACGCCCACCGGCCGCTGCCGCTGCTCGCGCGCGTTAAGCAGACTTTCTCCTGCCTCCCGCGGTGTCTGTCCCGCAAGGGCGGCAAGTGAGGCCCCTTCCTCCGTGGCCCGCGCCGGGCTCCCTCGAGCAGGCCGGCCGGGCCTGAGGGTGCCGGAGCCCCCGGGGCCTGGCCCTCACCCGCCCCCTGCTTGTCGCGTCGCCCGCAGAGTGCCGCCCGCGCCCGCCGCGCCCTCCGGCGACCGACCGAGGTCTGTGTCTGGCCCGCCTGCTGCAGCCACCTGGTGCCTTAGTCCCCGGCCTGTGGAGGGCCCGACCTGCACCCCGAGAGGAGAGGCAGCCAGCGGACAGCGAGGGCTGGGGTGGGGTGGGGTGGGGTGGACGGACCTGAAGGACATTAAAGAAACCGCAGAAGCTGCCTGTCCGTGTCTCATCATTCCCCAAAAGCCAGGCTAGGAGCCTGTGGAAGCGGAAACGGGGCCAGGAGGACTTCTGTGCCTTTCCTGACCGCAGCCGGCTGCTAATCTGACCAAGCGCCCAGGGCTCCTGGAGACAAGGCCTCCGAGTCCCTCCTCCCTTCCCTTTCTTTGAGACCCCTCGTCTTCTCTAGTGCCCGCCCTCTTCCTAATAACAAATGCTGGCCAGCAAGGTTCCGTGCTGGCCTTTTATTGCCACATTTGACCTTTTATTGCTTCAGTTCACTTTATCTTCAGGGGAAACAGCCAGGTGAGGTGCAGAGAGGTCAGGCAACTTGCACAAGAACAAACAGCTAGAGCGGGCAGGCTGGCTGTGAACTCGGTCTGAGTCCCTGCGTCTTCTGGTTTTGGTTTTTGGACAGGAGGAGCCAGCTCCAGCTAGTGGCAATGACCCTTCTGATCTAGCATTTAAAGGCCAGTGCAAAACCAAAAACAAACAAACAAACATGGCTGTATGATTTAAGGACTGGGGATATAGCTCAGCTGCATAAGCGCCTGCCTGGCAAGCACAATGTTGTGAGTTCAATTCCCAGTACCCCCCTCAAAAAATAAAATAAAATAAAATAAATAAAGGCCAGTACAGTCTGACAAAGCAGCCACTGAGTCCAAAGATGAATAGACATCATCAGAGCCTGTTAGCCTACAACTAACCTGATGTTGAGAGGTCTGAAGTAGCCATAACCCAACAGTCACTTGAATGGGCTTCTACCTGTGCACCAAACCCTGGACCAGAGCTATGGGGAAGAGCACAGATCCCTGCATGGGGGTGGGCAGTGAAAGAACCCTGCCTGCCACCCAGGCCCATGCTGGGGACAAGCTGCAGCGATGAGCCACACCTTTCCCCCTTGTTGCTGATGTGCTAGTAGAGACCACATGGCAAATCAAAGAAAGCACAGGCCAGATGAAGGTGGACCATTTTACTACCAGGAAGAGAATTCCAGGCAGACAGAACAGGAACAGACAGTTCCCCAAGGCAAGAGAGAGAGTGAAAAGCAAGGTGGCTGGGCTCCCCAGAGCCCAGGGAGCCTGTGCCTTCCGGGCTGGTCAGTGGTTCTGATTGCTACCCACCCACTTAAAATACCCGTCTGGTGTCTGCTGCTATTTAGAGACCTCTATGGGCCCATCGCCTATAGACAAAGCAGAGGCCCTTGGTCTGGTGTCCTGGCTGTGTAGAATGCTCCCTTTCCCTTCCAGCATAACTTCCCACACTCCAGCTGCACAATACACCCTTCACTCATAGACATGCACTCCAGCCGCTGGCTAAGCTTTATTGCATCTCAGCTCATTAAGTTCAGCAAAGCAGTGTTGCTATTTACCAGTGGAGGAACTGAGCCTGGTGTCCAAGGTTATCAGCTAGCAAGTAGTGGGCTGCAATGTCTGGCTGCATCTGCACCCTTTATTACTGCACTCTGCAACCCAGGAAAATAGAAGGTTGGAAACTCCTGTTTGGATATATAATCTGCCTTAGACTCTACATCCAAAATTCAACCAACCTCAGATAAAAAAAATTCCAAAAGTAGTGCCTTTGTACCGAATCTACAGACCTTTTTCTTGTCATTCTTTCCTACACAATAGAGCATAACAACTGTTTACATGAATTTACATTACATTTGGTGTTATAAGTCATCCAGAGATGATTTAAAGTCTGCAAGAAGATATGCACAGATTACACGCAAATACTGTACCATTTTATGGAAAGGACCTGAGCATCCATGAGTTTTGGTATCAAGGGGGTCCTGAACCCCACCTCCCATGGACTCCAAGGGTCACCGCCTCTAAAATGCTTGGTGGCCCACTGGAGCACCACAGGCGTGAATGTGAGCTCAGCCTGTGGTTAGGGAAGTGTGGGAAGGGCTGCCGGCATGTGCGGGCTGGGGAGGAGCTGCACAAAGAAAGCCTTCTGCTCTTCTGGTCAGTGTTGGCTGCATCCCCCTGAGGAAGAGACAGTTTTCCTCTCTCAGCCTCAGTTTCACCAGGTACCCAGCGAGGGGTGGAGCAGTCTGAGCTGCTCAAAGTCTTTCATATCATAAATCCCCTTTGATGATTTAAAGATTCAGACCCCAGAAAAATGCATTGATGTGGAGGAGGGGCGTGGTACTGGGGGTTGAATCCGGGGCCTTCCCACTGAGCCAAGGCTTCAGTTCATTTTTTAATTTTATTTTGAGACTGGGTCCCACAAAGTCACTAAATTACCAGGGCCGCAGTCCAACTTGTGATTCTCCTGCCTCAGCCTTCCATCGTGCTGGGATTATAGGCCTGCATCACCACACCCTGTTATAGATATAAAGAAAATTCACATATAGTTTCAAGGGATCACTGGGGATACAGCTCAGGAATACAAGTGACTGCTTGGTGAGCACTGAGTCCTGAGTTTGATTCCTGGTACAATTTCAGAGGCTCACAAGCTCCACCAAGAATCCAGGTGCAGCTGACAGGGGGCTGTGTAACAGGCCACTATTTAGATTTCTAGCCTCTGGGGGGCAGAGACACCCAGGTGTAGGTCCCGGCTCTCCCACCACGCTCTGTGACTTTGTTACAGGGATTTAACCCTGTAATTATACTGAGTCACTGCAGTGAAGACTTGAGCCAGGCCCAGCACCATGGTGAGCAGCAGTAAAATGGGTCTCTCAGTGCTCCAGGAAGTAAGTGGGGCTCGAGCAACTCGGGTTCCCGAGCTTTTGCTCACAACCTGATTCCACAGGTCTGGGTGGGGGTCATGAGTGTGCCTTAGCCAGTCACCACCTCCGACTGTGACAGCAGTCAGTCTGAGAAGCGCTTTGCCTTCCAATCTCCTGACAGCCAGTCCAGGTCCTGCAAAGAGCCTGGCTGCTCCGTGCAGCGTACTCTCCGCTACTCTGGGAAGATCGCTGCCAAGCCAGCCTGGCTGGGTAATAGGGCTCAAATCAAAAAACGTTAGTTCCAAACAATGTGGGGAGAGGAAGGAGGGAGAATTCAAGAAATTTCCAAGTGAACTCAAAAGAGCAAGCGACAGATGCAAGGACTGGGCAAATTTTGCCCGCGGGTGCCCCGCGCCCAGGCTCGCCTCCCTGGCTAGTGCACTCTGCTCTGGAGAGTCCCGGAGTCCCGAGGCGCCTGCCGGTCCCGCTTAAGCGAGGTCTCCGCCCTCCAGGCCTGATGGCCAAGGTAAGGAGCAGCGAAAGGAAAAGTCTCCCTGAGAAGAGAAGGAAGGAAGGCGAAACCCACCCCTGCGCTTTCGCTTTTGTCACCTCTGCAGCCCTCCAGGTGATCCCCTGACAGAGTGAGGGTCCAGTCCTGCACCTGGCCGGAGGCTCACTGCACTCTCGCGGCCCCTGGCGGAAGGTGGCAGGGAGGCCACGGTCAGCAGGACCCGGGGTCCCCTGAGTCTTGGTGGAGCTATGCTGGGTTGCACTGGGAACATCCGAACAAGACCCTCTTCCACATCCCCTAGAAGCTGCAGCCTCCTCCCTGAGCCCGAGCATGCTGGTCAGCTGCCCACCCCGCACATCCCCAGCACCACACTCCCCAGCTCACCGACAGCTGAGCCCTGGCTGCTCCCGGCTTCCTACCTCATCCAGCAGAAGTCTCAAAGCCAGTCTCACTAGCTCCCAGGACAGTGTAGGGCCTCACTGGCCTCCTGCTTCCCCAGCAAACCCGAGTCCTTCAGAGGTCTTTCAAAGGGAGTTTCGACGTTGCCCTCCTCAGAGACGGTCCACAGTTCCCACCACCCCGAGACAGAGACCCACTTCCCAGCCTGGGCTCAGAGCCCTGCAGGAGGCACCCATCACCCGCCTCCCAGGTCTCAGCTCTCTGCTTCCTCCCCCACTTCACTTCTCTGGCTTTCCAAGTGCTTAGTCTCGCTCACCAGTAGAACTCTGTCTTCACAAGTCCCCTGCCTACCACTCCCTCTTTTCCTTCACCTGGCCAATAGCAGCACCTCTTCCTCCTGAGAGCCTTTCTGATCTCGCTGGATGGTTCACAGCCCAGTTCAGTGCTTCTTCAAGTTACCCCTGACTGGAGGACAGTGGTCCCTATGGACTTTCTTTCTTCCCTCCTTCCTTTCTTTTCTTTTTTTTTCTTTCTTTCTTTCCTTTTGGTACTGGGAATCAAACCGAGGACCTTGAGCTTGCCAGGCAGATACTGTGCTGCTGAGCTGTGTCCCCAGCCCTCTCTATGGGTTTTGAGTCCGACCCTTATACCACGCCAAGAGCTGCATGAGGGTGTGGCCCACAGCAGGTGCTGAGTAAGTGCTCAATGACTGGCTGCATGTCCTTTTGCTTAAAGTGCTGCTGCTCAGCCAGGGGTGGTGGCTCAAGCCTGTAATTCCAGCACTCAGGAGGCTGAGGCAGGAGGATTGTTGCGAGTTCAAGACCAGCCTGGGCTACAAAGTGAGTTCAAGGCCAGCCTGAACTGCACAGCAAGATCCTGTTCTCAAAACAAGGACACACACCCACCCCCCACACACAGAAGTGCTGCTGTTCAGAGGAGATTCTGAGGCTACCCTCCATCCTCAATCACTGACATACACATGTGGTGCTGTTTCCCCGGTGGCATGTGACTCTGGTGCCCCAAAGTCTAGAGGCTAAAACTTGGCCTTTAAGAACATGCATCCTCTGGCTTCATCTATCTCCTTTTTCTTCTCTAATTCCCCTCCCTCTCTTTCACCACACACAGTCAATTATCTTTATTTATGGGTTCCATGTTTGCAAATTCTCTTACTTCCTAAAGTATATTGATAACCCCTCAATTTGATACATGGGTCATTTGAGTGGCCATTCGTAGACCTACACAGAATGGCAAGGAATTTCAGCTGCCCAATGGAGATATTTGAAGCTGTAGTCAAACAAGGCAACTCTGCTTTCTGGTTTCAGTTCCCCTCCTGGAAATAAGTGTCCTTTGCCACATTGCTCACTTTTTGTGGTAGTTTTACTATTTTGATAACCTGAGAGCATAATGCAA